ATGGTGTGCCTTACTACATCATCATTGACAACGGAAAATAGTTCTCCAACCAACTCGTGGACGAGCTCTATGAGAAATACAAGTTCAAGCAGCACAAGTCTTCCATGTATCATGCTCCGGCCAATGGTCTTGCAGAAGCATTCAACAAAACACTATGCAACCTCCTAAAGAAGGTGATCGGGTGACAGAGAGTTCATGAAGAGTCTCGCTCCACCCTCAATCCAATATGTAGATATTAATGAAAGCCATTTGACCGATCGACCACTTTCAAACTCATAAGAACAATGCTCTCCATTGCTCTATGAGAAGAGAAACTATTTGAATTCATAAACATACAACTAAAGGATTCAAAAATGATAAAATTTAAAATTTGTACAAGAGAAACTTGGGACCAAAGTTAGGATTTTAAAATTGAAATATAGTAGTTCCTCTATTTGAATTCATAAACATAGAGACTTATAAATGTCGTGTAAGTCTGAAATTATTTACCACCCAGGCACCCATATTAGGTGGCAAGAATAAAGACTGCCATAAGAGTGCACCGCGTGTTGGTAGTTTAACTATGGCTAATAAATTTAATTTTTATATAGGTCAAATTCTTTTTGTGGTCTATGTGGTGACATCCTAACTTTAAACCAACTCCTAGGGATGAAAAAAATTGTTAATAACATGAGTTAAAGTATGGGGATAATACTAGGGAGACAAAATATTTAGATAAAATTTTGGAAGTTAAAGTATGGGGATAATACTAGGGAGACAAAATATTTAGACAAAATTTTGGAAACTAAAGACATGAAAGTTGATGATTGGTTTATTACTTAATCGTTGATAAACGTGTTCATTCCTATTGGTGGTACATCATTTAGTTTGTAAATTTAGCCTCCAAATTTAGTCTTCCTACCGTAAGGATTCTAGATCTAGGAGGAGGTATGGCTCATCAAACATGTGTGTCGGCTTACTCCAAAGCGAAACTTTTCCTAAACAAACGTATCAAAAATCCTAACTTATGTTCTAAAGATCTAATTGTTGAACCGTTTTCGCCTACTTATGATTAATGTATCTAATAGTTCATTCGAATTTGATGTTCTCTCAGATGGTCAAGAAATATATATAGTTGTCTTATTATATAAGAGAAATTAAGTACATTGGACAACATCATTTGTCCTCTATGTTTTTAATTGATTTTCTTAATCTATTTTCCCCATCAATTTTTCTGCTATGTTCTCTCATTTGGTTTCTAATTTTCTTACAGTATTGGCCGTTCGAATAGTTTACAATTCCTTCATCTTTCAAGAAGAAGAATAAATTTCTCCCTTCTCTTTGATCCTTAGCACAAGCACTAAACAAGCAAGTTACCTTAAATCCTCAGATTTATTTATTTATTTTTTTCGGTTTTCTCCTTGCTCATGCATTATTTTCCTTTTAATATTGATATTGAATCTTCTGTTTGGAAATGCCTTTTTTTTTTTAACATGCTAAACATACCTCTGTCAGAATTTTTAGACCTTTTCTTTGTTCATCTCATCTTCCTCCTTTTCTTTGTCCAATTATCAAGCAGTTTTTTGTTTTTATTGCTATAAAGACATTTTCTTTGTCAGATTATATATCCCTATGCCAACACTTGCAGTGAAAATTTCAGAAGAGAAAACAGCTCTACATAATGAAGATGAAGATGAGCCCGAGAACAGTGAAGTAGGAAAATATTAAAGTCTTAAAACCCACAGCATCGCACCGGTATTTTTGCTTGTTCTCTAAAAGTGAAATGGAAGAGGCCGTTGCAGACAATGTTTGTGAGCATCTACTGTAAAATCCCAAATACACAAATGCGTATTCGACGTTAGAACATAAAACCAGTAAATCCGACGAATCATTTCAACATCTGGCATAGCTGACTACTAGTCCAGTAGAAACTAGGAAATGTGAAGACATGCAGAGTAAGCCAACTTTGAGCCCCAGCAGAGCCCTTTCTTCCAGCCTTCTAGGAGTATAAACCCTCAGTTTATGCTTGTATAAAAACACACTTGCTCCTTTGTAAATTTCTGTCGGAAAAGATACAGTCTAATTGCTATATTAATCACATATAAAATTAAAGAATAATTTGTGCAATTAAATAAACAATTTAATGCATACTCATAACGAAAAACAATGTCAAATGCACATGAAAATGGATCTAAAAAAATCTGAAAATTGGTCGAGGCAAATGTTGAATGTTTAAGACAAGTTTACGCCCCATTATGGTGCTCATGGTTGGTCTGTGTTTGTCTCTTAGGTCCTTGTAATAGTAGCACTCTAAACCACAAGGTTTTAGTGAACCACAATTGTGTTGAATACTCTGTCATATGGACTCAAGAAGGTACTACAACACTTTCTAAACAATAGTGAACTATGTGTATGAATATGTGAATGTGGATGTAATTTCTACTTGCAGAAGGGTTACTTAATCGTAGGCTTTTGATACTCTGTCATATGGCTTAGGATACCCTTTGTAGCTTCTAGAATCTATTTCTTAGTTCAAGATCCCCCTTAATACCTGGAATCAAAGAATTAGTAGATCTATTCTGCCCAAAATGGAAATGGGCTAGGGTTATGAACTTATAATCTATAATCTAATGATCGAGTTGTCGTTTCCATGATTATAAGTTCATTCTATACTGGACCAAACCAGAATAGGGTTATATACATTCTAAAAGGGTCTAAATCAGGTGATTTTTTTGGGTGCCTTTGGTTGTTTATATATATGCAGGTGTGTGGACTATACTAAAACTAACTCAAAAATTGAAGCAAAAACAAATTAACAAATTAAAACAAAAGTTAAAACAATTCATAAAGCGGGAGCCTCAAATTATGATTCCGAACGCATGCAGCAAAACGCAGTTTGAGTCCTCTTGACCAATTAAACAAATATTATGATGACATAGATTACAGATAGGTATTACCAACTTAACAAACTCCCCTAGTTTAGAACTCGAATCCTAACCATAACGTCATGGTTAAAGACCTAATGCAACCATGAACCAAATCGAACAGCGTTTCTAATCTTGAAGCATGAACGTTCTGACAGTCGTTCTTCTCAAGAGGATATATCTTCTTCACCAATATAATCTGTTTTCAACTTTTCATTATCTGTGAGCTAATCCATAACTTCCAAACATCGTCTTATCTATATCTGTAACACAATATGAAATAACAGAGGCAAATTTCAATCAAAGATCACTATGGATAAAGCAATCAACAGAGGTAAGCTAGGGAATTACGTTTCCACATTTTATTTATAATTTCTTAACAATATACCATATATTACACCATGTTTTCTTCTCAGTTTATCATACTTTCTTCCAAAACCACGCCAATTCAAATGGTTCCCCATATCATTAGTGCCCTTATGCAGCAAGAACTTGCGCTTTCGCAAAAAGCATATGGATGTACTGTACGAGAAAATATTCAGCAAACCATGACAGCTCTCAACAGAGCTAAAAGGCCGGATTTGATTAAACTACCTACATTTATGTGCCACAGTGACTAAAGTACTTCAAAGAAAGGCCGGATTTGATTATCTTAACCATCACCAAATAATGATTCCAAACAGAGGACGACGTGTTTCAAGGCTTCATCAGGGTAAAATATGTCCAATATACCACAAGCATGACACTCCAAATAATCAAATTATTTCCAAAGTGAAATGGAAGAGGCCTGTTCGGATAATGATTGTAAGTTTGTAACCAAAGACAGTGAAAAAAAAAAAACAAATACAGAAGTACCTACTAGATGATAAAACCAGTCAATAATCTGATAATTAATTTTAACATCTGGCAATAGCTGACTACTAGACTCTTAGTACTCCCTATTTCTCTTCTCTATCTGCCAAGAGCCATTTTCATACTATACAATATTTGTCCACCAACATCTGATGCAGTAACAGTGGAAAGTTCAAAATAATCAAGTAAAAGAAAACCATCTCCAGTCTCCAAGTGGAAACAGCTTGACTGATCACAATAAACACCATCTTTGCCACATAACATACAATCTTGCTAAGATTCCTATCGCTCTTCCACACTCCACTGTCAAAAGCTGCCTCTTTAGCAATTAAATCATTGAGAAAATGGATCATACTCAGTACTTACTCCTAACAGTAGACTTCAACTGTCACATCCCGGCCCGGGGCGGACCACTTCCCGGGCCATCTCCACCAACGTAGCACGATATTGTCCGCTTTGAGCTTACCATTCCCGCACGGTTTTGTTTGTGGGAACTCATGAGCAACTTCCCAGTAGGTCACCCATCCTAGGAGTGCTCTAGCCTCCTTCTCGCTTAACTTCGGAGTTCCTACGGAACCCGAAGCCAGTGAGCTCCCAAAAAGCCTCGTGCTAGGTAGGGATAGAAATATACATTTAAGGATCACTCCCCTGGGCGATGTAAGATGTTACATCAACCGAATTACATACCGTACAACAAGACAGTACAACAACAACAACAACATATCCCACTAATGTTAGTCATGGATGTCTTATCAGAAGAAAAAATGTTAGTCACGGATGTGATTCTATTTCCCAAGAAACTAAGAAATGTGAAAACATGCAGAGTAGGTTAACTTTGACAATAGAGACAGAACAACACATAATCTTTTCCATGTTTGGACATAACATTTGTTGAGAAGTCATGTAAATAACAACTAGTATCACAAGAACATAAAAACAATAAACCAAAATAGCGATGAAAAAACATAAAAAAGGTAGAACAAGAAAGATGTTTATCACTTTATCTTAATCAACTGGACACCGTCCGTCCCTAACAACATGCATTCAAGACGGGCTTAACTTTACGCTGGAATAGCTAAATAGAGTAATCTAAATTGGATGGGAATACAGAACAATTATCTGCCACCAAATGGGAAACACAAACATAGTTTCAATAATTCTGCATCATCTTTTCAAAATAAAAATGACCTTCAAATTGCACACAGCAAGAAAAAGCAATGCTTAACTATGTGGGAGAGATGTTACCTCTGAGCTCAAATCCATGATGGCATCCTTAAGAGAAACGAAGCTTGGAATATGGACAAATGCTTCAACCATTGATGGTATCCCATCAACTTCAACCGCAGCAGATCCCTTTTTTCCAGGAGTATAATCCCTCAATTTATACTTATGTAAAAACACCACTTGCCCCTTCTTTGTAAATTTCAACAATTGAGTAGCAGAAAAACTAGTTCTGTACCCAATCACTTGCTGCATGACAAGCTCTCTGACCCACGATTCCTTAACGCCATAATCCTTCATCACCCAAACATTGATATCACTCATCGAGAGAACATATACGGAGAGGCAGCCTCTCAGGACTGCGAGGCTAACAAGACGCTTTCCCAAAGAACAAGGCGGTAATGCCAACTCTTGGAAACACTCACTTCCAACATCAAAGGCACAAATCAATACAGAATTGTCGCTACGAGCAATCCAATGAAGAAAACCGTCATGATAAACCCCATACGATTGGTACCCAAAAGGGTACACAGAATTCCCAACATTTCTCCAACTTCCAGTGCTAACAGTCAAAACCATTACCTCCCATTCAGATTTCAATCCGTTACTCGTAGATGCAACCACAACTAATTTATAGACACCATCGCCAGGACTAAACCCAAACCCATAAAGAAATGGAAAAGCAATGTCCTTGGGAAATCTTGGAAGAGTTATGGACTCACCAATAACGGGATTGGAGATGTAAAACCGGCCGCTGTTAAGCCTATCGTATACGCAGAGGAAGCCATTGCAAGAACCCACAATTTGCACACCGAAATTCGGGACATTGGGGTCTTTGGGAAGCCTGATTACGACGTCATTCTTGCCTGAGGGTTTGTCGAGGTCGACCAAGAAGAGGCCAGTGGTGTTGGGGTTTCGGGTGCTGCTGTTTTGGAGCAAAAGGCAATCGGGTGTCTGTGAAAGTAGGTACTTTGTGAATTGGGGGTCCGAGAGCGATCGGCGCCATGACTTGCACACGCAGCGGCATTGTATCAGAGCTTTGATTGGGATTTTGCCGAAGATCTCGACTGTTACGTGGTTTGGGAGTTGGAGAATGTAGGGCTTCTTCTCGTTTCCTTCTTCCTGTTCATCTTTTTGCTTTGGCGGTTCGGCTTCGGAGTTGGTTGGCGGGCTGGTGTGCGTGGGTTTGATTTTCTTGGCTGGAGATGTCATGGAAGCCTGATATACGAACGATGCTTTTTTGGTGGGAAGGAATGTAAACGTGTCTAATGCGTGTACTTACTTGCACCTTATAATGCTTGGAACAATAACTGCTCTAATTCATGGACAGAGGATCCTCGCGGGATCCACTTTGAGGATTCGAGAGATTTGATAGTATACGTTTTTGTTAAGTATTTTTTATATTCAATTTTAAATAAAAAAATTAAAATAATTTCTAACCGTATAATGTATGATAAACGAATGTGATTAGAAGATCTTTATAATTCTGACAAAGAGAATCCGACAGGTAATTCGTGGGGATTTCAGTTGAGGAAGTGGACAAATTTGTAATTTTATTTTCACAAACAAATAAAGAATTTTATATTTTATAAATATGAACCATATTAATTAAATTTTTTTATCAACCAAAAGAACGTGAAAAGATATTTTGTCTTCTATCACAAAATAAAATTAAGGACAATAAAGTAATTTTGTACAAACTAAATTTTACAGTTTTTTTTTACAAGTATTACCTACATGTGATACTAACAAATCTCTACTTAAAAAAATAAAAACAAAACTCATCATCCATTTCCACATTCTCTCTTTATCTCCCTCTCCCCTTCTCTTAAAAACAAAATAAAAGTGTGTGGGCATATGCTAGTATTTTTTTTTAAGATTAAGTAAGAATAACCATTTAATTTTGAGGTGTAATTTTAAATTGGTCATAACCTTTTAAAATATTTCAAATAACTGCCTAATGTTTTCAAATTGGACATCAATTAGGTCACCAACATTAAGTGACCCTTGATAAGTATTAAGGCAAGTTTCACTCTCACATCATCTATAGCAATCTAGATCGCTAATGGTTATGTGGTCGTTATGTATAATTGATATGTCATCGCTATTAAAAATGATAAATTTTCTATAATCAAATATATATATAAATTATCATTATTGCTATTCATTAAAAAGAGTTTTTTTTTTCTTCACATTTTAGCCAAAGTGGTCTTTAAGATTGACATAACTTCTGACTTTGGTCATTGAGATTTAAAATTAATAAAATTAGTTCCTGATTTGTCCGCCATCAATCATTTTGGTTATTCTGTGAAAATTCTCTGTAAAATAAGGACCAAAATAATTAAAAAAATCTCAATTAAATAAGCAATGGATCAACTTGATTTGACAAAATTTGAGCCTACGTTTTCATTTTGGTCTTATTCAACGGACTTTTTTCACGGCATGATCAAAACAATTGTTGGTGGACAAACTCGAGACTAATTTTATAAATTTTCAATCTCAATGACAAAATTGAAGAGTTATGCGAACCTTGGATACTATTACTTTAGTCTAAAGCAGAGGGGAATCGCACTATTCATATGAACAGTGTTTTGTAAGACATTTCAATTTATTTACAAGACTGCCACTTGGATGCTTTTAGCCAACTTTCTCTTTATTTACAAAACTGCCACTCAGGATTAAGACCCGATTTTCAGCCGCTGCAGCATCTCAGGTTTTACTCTGGGAGAGAGAGGGGAGGGGGACAAAACGGCTGACAAATTGGAGAGAGGCGATCGCTCCCATTTTTCACTCGGAGACAGCTGGGTGTGGCTGTGGCGAGAGGAGAGGAGGAGGACAGTGGGGCTGGAGTGGGGGCAGAGGGACTACGACGGTTACTTGGGCTACGACCCCCGACTCTCCTCCCAGCGATTCGACTCCTTCGTCGACTCTGAGTCGCTCAAGGACTCCGCCGTCAATTCCCCAATCTTCCACGGCTCCACCGTAGACGACGCTTTCACTCAGCCGGCATCGGAGGCCTTCTCTCCTCCGCCGATCTACGCCGAATCGAACGGCCAGGGCTTTGATGGAGGGTTTGGTGGGTCCGACGATCCGATTTTGCCGGCTCCGTCAGAGATGCTGCTTGAGGGCGACTTCGCTCTCAGAGAATGAAGGAGGTAGGGTCTCTAAATCCTTTTCACCCAGCTGATCGATTATTCCATCCGGCTCTCTTCTTCACCGCAAGAAGTTGCCAGAAAAGTAAGTCCAAATCGTGATGCATAATTTACTTTCATTTTTTTAAATTAATTTATGAATATACTTTCTTCATAATGAGTTTACTTCTTGAGCAGTGCAAACTTTAAAGGGAAGGGATATATTCAAACCAAAAAAGAAAAGGGAAGCGATACATCCATTCTTTTCCTTGCTACAGGTATGGACCTCTGTTAAATTTGATTTTCCTAAGCGTTTTCTTTTGTTTAAGGTCAAAACTATTTATGAGTCATATTTATTATGGTCATGCATGGAAAAATGTTGTAATTATTTCTCTCTCTCAAAATTAGTAGATTTGAATTTTGGTACATGGATATATACAAGATAGAAAATGAACATTTACTCTTTAACAAAATCACATAGAATTCACATGCTTTGGTATGATTCAAAATGATATCATGTGAAGAAGTTTCATCATTGCTTTGATATCATGACTTTCGATGTAGTTAAGAGTTTATGTGCAGTTGCATTTTTCTCTATGTGCTGGAGTATGAATTCGTTGGTCATTAGCGAAGCTGCATGGTGTGGGATGCAGATAAATGAACTGCAAATGGTTACACCTTGCAGCCTGAGATATTTCATCAGGTATGGAGGACGATGTTTTTCTAAGTTCAGATGCATTTTGTGGTATGGATGGTAAGTCGGCGGTTAATGTAATCTTGTGCCTTCATTGTCCTGTATATTAAGCTTATAATGAACTTTGTATTTTATTCTTTTCATATACAAGGCAATAACTCATATTCGTTAATCAACCTATTTTATTTGGGTGATAAGTTCACTCTTTTAACTCCGCCTATGTCTTACATGGCCGGTCCCAAGCCCGGATAAAGGAGGAGGGGGAGGGCGTCAGGTAGTCGACAGCCGGCACTCCATGATCACGTCGAATCCTTATGAAAATGAATCCAGAACAAAATCGCGCTAAAGCTAGGGCGTCACCCGTAAGTGGCGCGTTGTGTGGCCCGAGCACAGTGATAAGTGAGCAAGGGTCGCTGTATCTCCATCGGCACCCGGATGCAGTGTTAAATGAGCAAGGGGGCCATAGAAACTTCTTTTCGAACGACTCCACTCAAAGTTTGGGAGCATATGCTCCTATCAACTTTACCCGGGACACACAAAAAAGAAGTACTTTGATCCTATTAGACGGGGGAGGGTGAAGAAGCTAGGACAGAAGGGTAGAGTTCAAGAGAGCAAAATGCGTTTAGGAACGTGGAATATAGGAACCTTAACGGGAAAATCTATGGAAGTAGTGGAAGTTATGGTGAGGAGAAGGATAAATATTATGTGCCTACAAGAAACTAAGTGGGTTGGTAGTAAGGCAAAGGATCTAGAAAACTCAGGGTTTAAACTTTGGTATTCGGGCACAAATAGAACGAGAAACGGTGTTGGCATCATCGTGGACAAGACCTTGGTACAAGATGTTGTAGATGTCAAGAGGGTAGGAGATAGAATCATGGCAATCAAGATTGTAATAGGACAAGAACTTATCAATGTGATTAGTGCGTACGCACCTCAAGTAGGGTTGGATACGAGTTCGAAGGAGAAATTTTGGGAAGATCTTGGAGACTTGGTGCAAGGAATTGCTCAGACGGAGAAGTTATTTATAGGAGGAGATTTAAATGGACACGTGGGCAGGGAGACAGGCAACTATGGAGGTTTTCATGGTGGCCATGGTTTTGGGGAGAGAAAACGAGGATGGGGAAGCTATCTTGGATTTTGCAATGGCATATGATCTCTTCTTAGCCAACACCTTCTTTAAGAAGAGAGAAGAACATGTGATCACCTACAAGAGTGGGTCGTCAAAAACACAAATAGATTTTCTTCTAATGAGGAAAGGGGATCGTATAACTTGTAAGGATTGCAAAGTTATACCAGGAGAGAGCGTGGCTAATCAACATCGCTTGTTGGTGATGGATGTACATATCAAAAGAGTAAGACAAAAGAACAAGACTTGGAAGTGCCCAAGGACTAGATGGTGGAATCTAAAAGAAGAAAAACAAGCCATTTTCAAAGAGAAGGTAATCACCCAATGTGTGTGGGATAGAGAGGGGGAAGCTAGCCAAATGTGGGATTCCATGGCTAGTTGTATCCGAAAAGTAGCAAAAGAGGTATTAGGAGAGTCCAAGGGCTTTGCCCCACACCAAAAGGAATCTTGGTGGTGGAATGAGGAGGTACAAACGAAGGTGAAGGCTAAGAAGGAATGTTGTAAAGCCTTATACAAGGAGATGACCGATGAAAATGGTGAAAGGTATAGAAAAGCGAAGCAAGAGGCGAAGAAAGCTGTCAGAGAAGCTAAGTTAGCGGCTTACGACGATATGTATAAACGACTAGATACCAAAGAAGGAGAGTTGATATCTATAAACTATCTAGAGCAAAGGAAAAGAAGACAAGGGACCTAAACCAAGTGAGGTGCATCAAGGATGAGGATGGAAAGGTTCTTGCTACAGAAAACGCGGTTAAAGACAGATGGAGAGGTTATTTTCATAATCTTTTCAATGAAGGACATGAAATGAGTGCTTCTTTAGGGGAGTTGAGTAACTCAGAAGAGTGTAGAAACTACTCTTTTTATCGTCGAATCCGGAAGGAAGAAGTGGTTGTAGCTTTGAAGAAGATGAAGCATAAAAAAGCAATAGGCCCAGACGATATACCAATCGAAGTGTGGAAACTTTTGGGAGAGACAGGTATAACATGGCTCACTGACCTTTTCAATAGGATTTTGAAAACGAAGAAGATGCCAAGTGAGTGGCGAACGAGCACTTTGGTGCCTATCTACAAGAATAAGGGCGACGTACAAAATTGCATGAACTATAGGGGTATTAAGCTAATGAGTCATACAATGAAGCTCTGGGAGAGAGTCATTGAGCATAGATTGAGGCAAGAGACACGGGTTTCGGACAACCAATTCGGGTTCATGCCAGGGCGCTCAACCATGGAGGCAATCTATCTCTTACGAAGATTGATAGAAAGATATAGAGATGGGAAAAAGGATTTACACATGGTCTTTATAGATTTGGAAAAAGCGTATGATAGGGTCCCAAGAGACATTCTTTGGAGGATTTTAGAGAAGAAAGGAGTACGAGTAGCATATATCCAAGCTATAAAGGATATGTATGAAGGAGCAAAGACTGCCGTAAAGAACTCATGAAGGACAAACCGAAAGCTTTCCCATAACTGTAGGATTACATCAAGGCTCATCCTTAAGTCCTTACCTTTTTGCGTTGGTAATGGATGAGTTAACAGGACATATTCAAGATGATATTCCTTGGTGTATGCTTTTCGCAGACGATATAGTGTTGATAGATGAAACTCAGGAAGGGGTAAATGCAAAGCTTAACCTTTGGAGAGAAGTGTTGGAATCTAAAGGTCTTCGCCTAAGCCGATCAAAGACAGAATATATGGAGTGCAAGTTCAGTGCAAATGGAGGCCAAAACGAGTTAGGGGTGAGGATCGGAGATCAAGAAATACCAAAGAGCGACCGTTTTCGTTACCTAGGATCTATCTTGCAAAAGAACGGAGAATTAGATGGAGATCTCAACCATAGAATACAAGCTGGATGGATGAAGTGGAAGAGTGCATCCGGCGTGTTGTGTGACCGCCGTATGCCACTGAAGCTCAAGGGAAAATTTTATAGGACGGCAATAAGGCCGGCGATGCTGTATGGCACAGAATGTTGGGCGGTGAAACATCAACACGTACACAAAATGGGTGTAGCGGAGATGAGGATGCTTCGTTGGATGTGTGGGCACACGAGAAAGGATAAGATTAGGAATGAGGATATCCGGGGTAAAGTAGGAGTAGCCGAAATTGAAGGAAAGATGAGAGAAAATCGGTTACGGTGGTTTGGACATGTGCAAAGAAGGCCTACTGACGCTTCCGATTAGAAGATGCGACTATGGGACAGAGGTTCAGGGCCGAAGGGGTAGAGGAAGACCTAGGAAAACTTTGGAAGAGACTCTAAGAAAAGACTTAGAGTACTTGGATCTAACGAAGGACATGACACAGGATCGAGCACAATGGCGTTCTAAGATTCATATAGCCGATCCCACTCAGTGACTTGGATTTTCCAAGTCTCCAACCGAGAAGTTTTCCTCACTCGGGAAATTAAGGGAACACTACCCCAACCTACATGCTCCACTCAGAAAGCTTCAACATACAAGCTTCAACAAAAGAAAATTCAAAGAACTTAGCGAAGAAGGCTTTGGTGTATTTAACACAATACGTTGAAATGAAGGAAAGCTTATTTATTGATATCCCCGATAAGCTACAAATATGTACATATACATGAGTCAAAATAAACACACAAGAGGGAGCCTTCACAAAGGTTGCTTAGGAGAAGTCTCAGCAGTCGGTAGAGCCCCAGAAAGAGAAGGCACCGGAGGGGGATCATTTGGAGCCTCAGTACTGGACAGAACCCTAGAAGGAGGAGGCATCAGAGGTTGATCATTTGGAGCTTCATTACGCGGTACAGCCCCAGAAGACGAAGGCAATAAATGCCTTTGGAACAAACCCACAAATCTCTGATGATCAAGTAAAACCTGACCATCAGTTTCCTTCATCTGGTCAAGCTTCCTCTTCATGTTTGTAGCATAGTCATGTGCGAGCCGGTGCAACTGTTTATTCTCATGCTTGAGCCCTCTAATCTCCTGTTTGAGACTCATCACTTCAGCCGCCAATGATTCAACTTGGCGGGTTCGAGCAAATAGGCGTTGGGCCATATTAGACACAGAACCTGCACACTGAACACTGAGAGCCAGCGAATCCTTAACAGCTAACTCATCAGACCGTTTGGAAAGTAGTCTGTTATCTTTGGGAGTGAGAAGGTTCCTGGCCACCACCGCAGCGGTCATATCATTCTTCATCACGGAATCCCCAACGGTAAGAGGACCAGTAGGGGAGACGAAGGATGGGCGCCATATGTTGTCTGGAGAAGGCGGGGCTGCCTCTTCAACAAGGTTCAAGTCAAAACGACGGTCGGAGGGGCCAGACATTTTCAAAGGTGTTGAAGAGAGAAGAGGTCGGACAAATCAAGATCTTAGAAGTGCAAGAATGAAGCTTCTACTGGTGGAGATTCAAGTGTGCTTTGGAACTTAATGCCAGCCCCTATAAAAATCTGCACTCGACGGAGCTTCAGAAATCGAAGAGGCGCCTGCTCAGAAATCGAAGAGGCGTTTGCTTTCTCAAAAGCTGGGCTGCTTAGAGATCACGAGGGTTGATCTCAGAAATCGAAGAGGCGTTTGCTTTCTCAAAAGTTGGGCTGCTCAAAGACCACGAAGGCCGATCTCAGAAAATCGAAGAGGCGCTCGCTTTCTCAAAAGCTGGGCTCCCCAGAGACCACGAGGGCCGATCTCAGAAATCGAAGAGGCACCTACTTTTCCAGCCTTGTCAGCACCTGTCACACGCACACTCAGCTTTGCGGAAATTATGGGCATTCTGTCAAAGACTTCTGGGGAAGTAGAAAACACATGAATCTTACTGTTCAATCACCCACTTCCCACACGCAACAATAGCTCATGGGTACCACAGATAACTTTGCCAAAGTTCTCTGCCAAAGTTGAGCACGTGAAGCTTGCAGCTCCCACTACATCGCTCTGACCAAGAAGGGTAAAAGAATAGCAAAGAAACAGCACTAACAAAGTTTAGACCCATAAATTTTGAAGGTCTAGCTACCATATTATTACCCACAAGGGTAAAGGAACAGTACCACTGCTGGATAATTGGAAAGTCCCTGTGTGTCAACCTCTGTGCTTCGTGGCAAGGTAGACTAGCAAACATGCCCAACCTTTACTCACATTCGAGAAAACACTCCCAATAAGATTGCTTGCTCCAAAATCGAAGAGGCACCGTCCTCCGAATCTCGAGAGCCAGACTCCCAACATGACTACTTTCTTAAAAATCGAAGAGAGGGTAAAGGAACAGTACCATTGCTGGATAATTGGAAAGTCCCTGTGTGTCAACCTCTGTGCTTCGTGGCAAGGTAGACTAGCAAACATGCCCAACCTTTACTCACATTCGAGAAAAACACTCCCAACAAGATTGCTTGCTCCAAAATCGAAGAGGCACCGCCCTCCGAATCTCGAGAGCCAGACTCCCAACATGATTACTTTCTCAAAAATCGAAGAGACACTGCTCCCCGAATCTTCGAGAGCCAGACCCCCAGCATGATTGCTTTCTCAAAAATCGATGAGGCATCGTTCTCCGAATCAATCGAAGAGGCGCTCGCTTTCTCAAAAGCTGGGCTGCTCAGAGACCACGAGGGCCGATCTCAGAAATCGAAGAGGCACCTACTTTTCTAGCCTTGTCAGCACCTGTCACACGCACACTCAGCTTTGCAGAAATTATGGGCATTCTGTCGAAGACTTCTGGTGAAGTAGAAAGCACATGAATCTTACTGTTCAATCACCCACTTCCCACACGCAACAATAGCTCATGGGTACCACAGATAACTTTGCCAAAGTTCTCTGCCAAAGTTGAGCACGTGAAGCTTGCAGCTCCCACTACATCGCTCTGACCAAGAAAGGTAAAAGAATAGCAAAGAAACAGCACTAACAAAGTTTAGACACATAAATTTTGAAGGTCTAGCTACCATATTATTACCCACAAGGGTAAAGGAACAGTACCACTGCTGGATAATTGGAAAGTCCCTGTGTGTCAACCTCTGTGCTTCGTGGCAAGGTAGACTAGCAAACATGCCCAACCTTTACTCACATTCGAGAAAACACTCCCAACAAGATTGCTTGCTCCAAAATCGAAGAGGCACCGTCCTCCGAATCTCGAGAGCCAGACTCCCAACATGACTACTTTCTCAAAATCGAAGAGAGGGTAAAGGAACAGTACCATTGCTGGATAATTGGAAAGTCCCTGTGTGTCAACCTTTGTGCTTCGTGGCAAGGTAGACTAGCAAACATGCCCAACCTTTACTCACATTCGAGACAACACTCCCAACAAGATTGCTTGCTCCAAAATCGAAGAGGCACCGCCCTCCGAATCTCGAGAGCCAGACTCCCAACATGATTACTTCCTCAAAAATCGAAGAGACACTGCTCTCCGAATCTCGAGAGCCAGACCCCCAGCATGATTGCTTTCTCAAAAATCGAAGAGGCATCGTTCTCCGAATCTCGAGAGCCAGATACCACAGACCACTTTTTCAAAGTGCTCTGACAGAGTTAAAACATGTGAAACTGGCAGCTCCCACTACCGTGCTATGATATGACCAAGCAGGGTAAAGGAATAGCATTACTACTTGTTGTTAGGGAGACTCCTATATATGTCGACCTCCATCCCCAACGGACAGGCAGACCTGCAAAAATGCTCAACCCTTCATCATATCTGAGAGGGCACTCCCAACGAAGCCTTTCGAAATATTCAGCTTTCTTTCCCCCCGATAATACCTCTGCAAACAAGCTATACTAGAGCAAGAATATCTCATATCATCAGGGTTAAAAGCAAGAGTATCCCATATCATGCTTTTTCCCTGTCTTTTCCTTTGGCCTTGTTTTTTTACCTGCAAGACAAGGAGAAAGAGAGCAATCAGTCAGCACTTGGAATCAAGCTTCCAGCCAGGAACTGACTGCCTGGAACCCCTTACCTGATTACTTACCTGGCATTGCTCTCGAGTACTCATCTTCAACATCTTATGTTTCCAGGGAAGATTCCGCATCTGCTTGAGGAACAGATAGGGCAAGTGCGAAGGATACAAGGAAGCATGTGGAGACAAGCGTAACAGCACACGTGCCGATACATCCATTACTCTGTCAAAAGCAAAAGTATCCCATATCAGCAGGGTGGAACGTACTCTAGATTTGATGGACTTGTTTTGACCCTCAAAATTCTTCAGTCGGCCTTATACTCTGGAGGAAACCAGAAAACCCTCCAGCTCAGTTCAAGAATAAGCCTGTGGAAAGTTACTTCTTCAAAAGCAAAAGTATCTCATATTATCTCTCTTCTCATTTTTTCTTCTCTTTATCCTTCATGCTGTTGCAAGATGAGGGAGAAGGTGAACAATCAGTCGGAGCTCTGATTGCTTACCTTGTCTGTCACCTCTTTCAGCAGACCCCTAGCTCGGCGACTTGGGGGACTCCTACTACATGGTTTGTATCGCACTTGACCAAGCCTGAAACTACAAGTAAGCTTCAAGTGAAATTGATACATTACCTTGTGCATCTCCACCAGTTAAAAGATACCACCCCTGGATGGAGGAAAAGTACTTCCAGAGAAGATGCCACATCTACATATGAGACAGATAAGGCAAGTCAAGACGACACCACACTCCGATACTTAGAAGTTTCGTGATTACGAGATCATTCTCCCACAATATTTCCTAATGTCATTTGTACTAAATCATTCACTTGTACTCACTAAAGGAGAGCTTGAACCTATGTACTTGTGTAAACCCTTCACAATTAATGAGAACTCTTCTATTCCGTGGACGTAGCCAATCTGGGTGAACCACGTACATCTTGTGTTTGCTTTCCTATCTCTATCCATTTATATACTTATTCACACTAATGACCGGAGCAATCTAGCGAAGATCACAAAAAGCGACCGTTTTCGCTACCTAGGATCTATCTTGCAAGAGAACGGAGAATTAGATGGAGATCTCAACCATAGAATACGAGCTGGATGGATGAAGTGTAAGAGTGCATCCGGCGTGTTGTGTGACCATCGTAGGCCACTGAAGCTCAAGGGAAAATTTTATAGGACGGCAATAAGGCCAGCGATGTTGTATGGCACAGAATGTTGGGCGGTGAAGCATCAACACGTACACAAAATGGGTGTAGCGGAGATGAGGATGCTTCGTGGGATGTGTGGGCACACGAGAAAGGATAAGATTGGGAATGAGGATATCCGAGGTAAAGTAGGAGTAGCCGAAATTGTAGGAAAGATGAGAGAAAATCGGCTCCGGTGATTTGGACATGTGCAAAGAAGGCCGACTGACGCTCCGGTTCGAAGATGTGACTACGGGACAGAGGTTCAGGGCCGAAGGGGTAGAGGAAGACCTAGGAAAACTTTGGAAGAGACTCTAAGAAAAGACTTAGAGTACTTGGATCTAACGGAGGACATGACACAAAACCGAGCGCAATGGCGTTCTAGGATTCATATAGCCGACCCCACTTAGTGGGAAAAGGCTTTGTTGTTGTTGTTGTTGTTGTTGTTGTTGATAAGTTCACTCTTTTAATCTCAGCCAAAGGAAGATTTAGGGTGTGGTTTTGTTAATGGCAGTGGATGATTTGGATGAAAGTATGTATCTTGGGGATTTTTTTTGCTTGCTTGCAGTTGTTAAGGCCAACACTGAAGAAGTTTTTGTAGAATGAGATTCTTATATCAAATTGTTTCTCTGTTTATGGCAGGTAATAAACGTGGTCCAACCAGTAGCTGATAAAATGTCATTGTATATATGCTTTTGTCGATTTATGCTACAATAATGAGGGAATCTAGAGGATCGAGGCCAGTCGATCTGAGATTTGTACAACTCTATCCCTTTCTTTCTCTCTTTCTGTGAATTTCGTGAAATTGACTACGTACGTTCTGATTCTTGCTGTGTTTGGGAGTGGAGAAAGCTCTAGATTAGCTTTGATCACTTGAATTTTTTCTTATTTAGTTCAGCACAGTTGGAGTACATAATCCTACCGTTGGGCTATTTCTAGGGACGCTTATGTTTACTTTTGTTAGTTTGTTGACAGTTTGGTATGTCTTTCATATTGATGGAATTAAATTGTGAATTCATTATGGTTCAGGTTGTTGAAATTTGAATTCAAAATTCCCTTTGGAAACTGTCACAAGCGATGTGTCTGTTGAGGCTAAGGAATCAAAAGCCAGTGAGAGGTAAAGTTTTTTTCTTTAGCCACAATGGCGCCACGGTCTAATCAATGCCTATAAAGTTGTAAACCCTTCCGAGTCTCTAGCAGCTAGAAAAAGCTTCTTGAACATTCATCCAAGCAGAAAAAGAGAAACGAAACAAGAGCTGCCGAGCTGCATCAACGGGTACCTTCAGTTCTTCTAGTTTCTTTCTTTATTTAACTTTTGTTTTTCTGGGTTCTATTTTTCAGTGTTTAGTCTTATTCTGTGTATTTTTCAGTAGCACTTTTGTGATACGAATGAAGGGTTTGGATTTATGGCTTTGGGTTTTCCATTTCGTAAATTTAGAGATTGGATTTCTTCTGAAAATTTTGAGTTAAGAGTGTTTAATCCATTCCGGCATAACAGTGCAGATATTCTGCAAAGTCCCAATTAAGACCCTGCAAGTCTTGGCGACATTCGCTCTCAGATCCCTAATTCACCACAACTACTTTCACAAACACCCCCTTCATTTTTGTTCCATGGCTTAAGTGGCGGCCCCATAAACCCCAAATCGGAGGGATACTTATTGGTGGACCTTGATAAGGTCTCAAACCCAAATGACTATGTACTGAAGCTTGCTAGAGTTTTCTATTTTTTGGGGTTAGCATGTTTAATTTTCGGGTTAGTACATGTAGAGTTTTCTATTTTTTGGGGCATATGACTTAAACAAATGTTATGGTCCAAAGAAGAAAAAGATTATGTGTTTTGTCTGTATTGTCAAAGTTAACTTTCTCTGCATGTTTTCACATTTCTTAGTTTCTTGGGAAATAGAATCACATCCGTGACTAAAACTATTTTCTTAGGATGAAGAGAATTATTTATAGGTCATTACTGCCTTGTCGTATGGTATGTAATTTGGTTGAGACTACTGTTAGGAGTAAGTTAGTACTGAGTATGATCCATATTCTCAATGATTTATTGAAGAGGCAGCTTTTGACAGTGGAGTGTGGAAGAGCGATAGGAATCTTAGCAAGATTGTATGTTATGTGGCAAAGATGGTGTTTATTATGATCAGCCAAGCTGTTTCCATTTGGAGACTGGAGATGGTTTTCTTATTTTACTTGATTGTTTGAACTTTCTACCGTCACTACATCAAACGTTGGTGGACAAATAGTGTATTAGTATGAAAATGGCTCCTGGCAGAGAAAGACGAGAAATAGGGAGTACTAACAGTCTAGTAGTCAGCTACTACCAGATGTTAAAATTGGTAGTCGGATTATTGATTGGTTTTATCATCTAGTAGGTACTTCTGTATTTGGTTTTTAGGGTCTTTGGTCATAAACATTGTCTGAACAAGCCTCTTCATTCCACTTTGGAATGAATTTGATTATTTGGATTGTCATGCTTTTATGGTAATTGGACATATTTTACCCTGATGAAGCCTTGAAACATGTTGTCAACTGTTAGGAATCACTATTTGGTGATGGTTAGATACTCTGCCTAGCATTAGTGAAAGATTTATCAATGTGGAATTCTTGTTTGTAGTTCATCATCTGGTAGTTTCATCAGAGTACATCAAGGACTTTTATGTGGTAGAAATGCAGTATGTTTAATACTCATCGCTCCTCTCTCAAATTAGACCATTGCAGATGGTGCACGTTAGGCTCCTGGTAGATACTATTCCACAGGCTTACCTGATGCCTGACGGGCTTTCTTTGAAGAACTTTAGTCACTGTGGCACAAAAATGTAGGTAGTTTACTTAAACCCAGCCTTTAAACTAGACAACCTCTTATACCCAAGTAATTTCTGATATGTACCTAAATGTTGACGACTACGGCGTATTAAAATAAGCTTAATCAAGCACCAATCACACACTTTCTCATTTTGATTCCGCAAATAGGCATATATAAATATAATTGCACTGAATGACGGACTAATCTTGTGCCCGTTGACGGGCGCTAATTTTGTTAGATTTGTACAGCATTTGGTGTTTGAAGTCATGGATACTTCTATGTATGAGGCAGCAATATCGGGTGATCTTGGTTTTCTTGAAAAAAGTGGAGACTCTGAGCATCTTCTTCTACAGAAAAACCTAGAAATAATAATATTCTTCACCTTGTAGCTGAGTTTGGACAAATCGATTTCTTGAAAGGCGTCCTGATCCACATTCAATCTCCACAGTTTTGGTCCACCAACAACAAAGGCAACACTCCCATGCATGTAGCTACTAGAGCAGGCCGTGATGAAATAGTAGGGTTGCTCATTAATCAAGCAAGTAAGCTAGGAGCAGATAAGGACGGTGCGCTGGTCAATGGCAAAGCGTATAAAGAGTTACTTCGGACCAAAAATTCAATTGGCGATACGGCACTACATGTTGGTATCAAACAAGGTGACCTCGATGTGGTGATCCTATTGGTTGAAGCCGACTCCGGACTATGTTGTTTAACTAAAATCGCCAACGAGTCGCCATTATTCTTAGCTATTTGCAAGGGGTTTGGAAGCATAGCTCTATACATGTTAGACAATTCGCCAACGTCTCCTTCCTTTGAAGGGATTAATGGTGTCATGGCTTTACACGCCGCAGTTACTCACATTAACTATGACGGTAAATAATTTATATTCAAAAGCTAAAAAAAAATGAAATCACTCTTCTGTGAAACGAATTTCAACTAACTCACTTTCTACTTCCCTTTATGTTTCCATACGATTTAGGCATTGTGCAGATGATGGTTTCCAAGAATCCTGAAATAATCAAAGAAGTTGACGCCAACGGATGGACTCCATTACACTATGCAGCATTGAGAGGGAACGTTGGAGCAACTCGATTATTGATGCAGCAAGATAGTTCTATTGGCGTGTCCACAATGTAGCTGATAACATCAAATTGATCACCTAAAACTGCTGCGTGCAGAACCGTTTGGCCTTTGTGATTGACCAATTCACAAGTATCAGGCCGCCATTGAGTCAGCTATTCCATCACTTTCGGGCGGCCTGCGTATGCCGCAACATGAAGAGCTGACATTCCAGATTTGTCCAAGATGTAAGAAATTGAACTATCTTGCTGCATCAATAATCGAATTGCTCCAATGTTCCCTGTCAATGCTGCATAGTATAATGGAGTCCATTCGTTGGCGTCAACTTCTTTGATGATTTCAGGCTTCTTAGAAACCATAATCTGCACAATGCCTAAATTGTATGGAAACATAAAGGGCAGTAGGAAGTGAGTGAGTTGAAATTCGTTTTATAGAGGAGTGATTTCATTTTTTTTTAGCTTTTGAATATAAATATTTACCTTCATAGTTGATGCGAGTAACTGCGACGTGTAAAACTGTGACGCCATTAATCCCCTGAAAGGAAGGAGACGTTGGCGAATTGTCTAACATGTAGAGAGCTATGCTTCTAAACCCCTTGGAAATAGCTAAGAATAATGGCGACTCGTTGGCGATGTTAGTTAAACAACATAGTCCGGAGTCGGCTTCAACCAATAGGATCACCACCTCCAGGTCACCTTGTCTGATAGCAACATGTAGTGCCATATCGCCAATTGAATTTTTGGTTCGGAGTAACTCTTTATACGCGCACCCTCCTCATCCGCTCCTAGCTTCCTTGCTTGAGTAATGAGCAACCCTACTATTTCATCATAGCCTGCTCTAGCAGATACATGCATGGGAGTGTCGCCTTTGTTGTTGGTGGCCCAAAACTCTGGAGATTGACTGTGGATCAGGACGCCTTTGAAGAAATCGATTTGTCCAAACTCAGCTGCAAGGTGAAGAATTTTATTATTTCTAGGTGTTTTCTGCAAAAGAAGATGCTCACAGTCTCCACTTTTTTCAAGATCACCTGATCTTGCTGCCTCATACACAGAAGTATCCATGACTTCAAACACCAAATGCAGAGGCATTGTACAAATATGACGAAATTAGTCCGTCATTTCATTGCGATTATATTTATATATGCCTATTTGCGGAATCAAAATGAGAAAGTGTGTGATCGGTGCTTGATGAAGCATATTTTAATACGTTGTAGTCGTTAGCATTTAGGTACATATCAGAAATTACTTGGGTATGTTTGGGTGGGCAACTTTCAAATTTTAAGGCCCTTTTCTTCTACATTGTGCCTAAATGCCTTGGAATTTAAAAGTTCCTTACCGAAACATACCCTTAAAGGGAACTTAGTGAAGTTGATTGGATTAGAAATTATACAGGGGACATGCAATCAAACAGGAAATAACAAATGAGTGCGGAGCTGATGGGATTATAAGTTATACCTACATTTCGAGAAATTATAAGAACATGCAAGAAAACAGAAATTGTACAGGGAACATGCAAGCTGATGGGATTAGAAGTTATACCTGGACTTCGAGATGTGGCTTCGAATATGTGCGCCCAGAGATGAAGAATGTAAGGAGCAGCTAGGGTTTGGTCTTGAGGAAGTAATGGAAGGATGGAGGCCCTGATGTTTTTGGATGAGAGAGAGCAGTCTCTCAAGTGAGTACGCGGATCTAAGTTTCAGAAATGAGGGAATGAACTGAACAGCTTTTAGATTCTCAATGGGTTTTTCAGTTTTCACCCGTGTGGACATTTGAACCCCACGTGTGTTAAATCCTTTGTCTTTTCTTTTTATTTTACTTTGCGTTATTTTATTTGTTTCTTTTATTTAATTTAGTTATCTGTCTTCTAGAGTTTTCTTTTCTTTTTGTGGTTTTTCTATATATATTTATTCCGCTTATTTTTCATGCCTTGAGGATAATGTGTGATTTAAGTTTGGGGGGTGGAAGTAAATTTTCAAATCTTTAATTTTCGAATCAATTAATTTTTTCTAAAATTTTTTAAGTTAATATCTATAGATTATTTTAAATGGACATAGTGAAGATTAATCTCATAATGGAGTCTTTTCTATTTATTTTTGCTTAGACACTAATTCATGAGTTATACAACAACAACAACAAAGCCTTTTCCCACTAAGTGGGGTCGGCTATATGAATCCTAGAACGCCATTACGCTCGGTTTTGTGTCATGTCCTCCGTTAGATCCAAGTACTCTAAGTCTTTTCTTAGAGTCTCTTCCAAAGTTTTCCTAGGTCTTCCTCTACCCCTTCGGCCCTGAACCTCTATCCCGTAGTCACATCTTCGAACCGGAGCGTCATTCGGCCTTCTTTGCACATGTCCAAATCACCGGAGCCGATTTTCTCTCATCTTTCCTACAATTTCGGCTACTCCTACTTTACCTCGGATATCCTCATTCCCAATCTTATCCTTTCTCGTGTGCCCACACATCCCACGAAGCATTCTCATCTCCGCTACACCCATTTTGTGTACGTGTTGATGCTTCACCGCCCAACATTCTGTGCCATACAACATCGCTGGCCTTATTGCCGTCCTATAAAATTTTCCCTTGAGCTTCAGTGGCCTACGACGGTCACACAACACGCCGGATGCATTCTTACACTTCATCCATCCAGCTCGTATTCTATGGTTGAGATCTCCATCTAATTCTCCGTTCTCTTGCAAGATAGATCCTAGGTAGCGAAAACGGTCGCTTTTTGTGATCTTCGCTAGATTGCTCCGGTCATTAGTGTGGATAAGTATATAAATGGATAGAGATAGGAAAGCAAACACAAGATGTACGTGGTTCACCCATATTGTCTACGTTCACACCAACATGTTTTGTGGGGAGTGAGATTAAAACACTTACTTTTCTTCTTATTAAACTTTTAAGTTTTGTGCTAAATATAGTAAAGTTTTTGGTTCTTGTTATAAATAAAGTAATAACTGTTCCACCCAAGGCTTTGCTCAGTAACCGAGTCAGTCTTACCTAATCAGCAGTTATTTTTGCATAAAACAGTGGAGTCTTGGTGTAATTACTCGTTCCTGAATTATAGTATTTTGATCCTCAAGGTGGAAAATGACCAAAATGCCCTTAATGGGTAGATGTTGACTTTCATTGACTTAGTAGTCAGGACACATGTAACATATTTATTTAGTATATTATTATAGTACTCGTTTCGAACGCGTGGATGCAAGATGAACGAGATATGGACATAAATTGAAGCTTTTACAAGCCTTTGAATTCAAGGACATTTTTGTAAATTCCTCTGTTTCTCTGGAGAATTCCCATTGGTGCTGGTTGCAGTGGGACCCGCGTGGGGGGATAGTTTCTTTTTTCTATCCTCCCTGTTTTCTGAAACAATAAATTGATCAAACTATCAACTTATATGAACGAGTAAATTGATCACATTTTGAAACGATAAATTATAACATGAGAAAATTAAAACCCTCGTAACCTCACCCCAAACCAAAAAACATAAAATAAAACAAATCGAATACCACAACCCAAAAATAGTAAGAAAACAAAATAATTAACGAGAAAATTTGTCAACTCCTTAATTCAATAATACGGTAAGTTAAATAAAAGCATCCTAAATAAGCATCCAATACCAATAATTAACGATTTGGCACACGCACCTAACAAACTTGGAGGGTAAAATAGGCATGAAAAATTTGAGGGCCATACCATAACAAACGTTGACTCAGAAATGAAAATTTTTGCTCAAGTGAAAGTATTGGCATACTATTATTATTTTTTAAATACAAAAACCTTATTGTAGGCCTGATTTAACTTAACAATATAAAGGACAGAGAGATAGAAGTGTGGCACGATAAGGAGAAATAAACTCTAGGATAATATCTATTTTTATTTTCTATTTTTGTTAGAAACGATAGTAGTATATTGATAGAGAGGCTATTGGGAGCCAAAAGTAACAGTACAAAAATGTTACGTTACATCCTCCACAAGGAGATCAATAATGAAACTAGGAGGCTGGTCAATCCAATAAAGATGACTGCCAATATTTAGACTAAACCTAGTTAAAAGACGAGCAACGGTGTTAAGACTGCAAATATGATAAGATTTACACGATCACATTCTAATCTAATATATATGACTGCAACAAACTTGTAATTTTCCTTAAAAATCTCTCAAACTTGATGATATAAAGATGCCAATTTGCTAGAAATTTCACCGAAACTACCTTTCTTTATGTTAAGGGATTGATAATTTATGGATTTTATTTAAGATTCTTCCATTGTCTGAAGTACATAAATTGTGATCTTCTTCAGAATGAGTAACCTGAAATGACAAAAAGCCCATTCTATTTGTATTCCTCAAGAAATTTCAATGGATATCCTAACACGATTGTAAGAGTACCGAACACAAGGATCCAAATCAAGAGGAGGTCAAGGGTCAAGCTAGTGACACTTGTCAATAGATGAGAAAGATAGTTATGTGAGTTGTTATAAGATTAGTTACACAAGTTGTTATAAGGAGGTTAGAATCTTATCCAATTGTTAAGCTTTCATTACAAGCTTTGACATTGACAACAGAGAAATAACGTTAGTGGGTTAAATAGTCGGTTGTTCGAGGGAATGGAAGTCGGTAGAGATCAAACCTGCACCAGAGTGCATAGGCATGATTGCTCCATGCCACTGCGATAAAGCAATCTTTTTGTTTTTAATCTTTTTTTTTTCTCGTATACAAGATAGAGAATCATCTTTTTGTTTTTCTTTTTACTATTTTTTTTAACATTATATTATATAAACATTTTTTTTTTAATATTCTCATGACTGGCAAAAAAGATGCACAATTTTCCAATGTTATATTATTCTTTTCTTATAAATACGTTATATTATCCTCATTTCTCTTTTTTAAGACTCCATGCATCCCACCAAAATTATTACCTAAAACTCTCAAACATATAAATAGACACTTACTTAAGACTCTAGATGTTTGATTTCGACTCTCTTTGTTTGATTGTTGATTATTAGATTATATGACTACTGATTAATTTGATAGCTTCGCTGGTTGTTGATTAATTTGAAGTTGAAGCATGCTTGATTGGTTGAATAATCTGAACTTGTTTGTGTTGTGAGTTAAACTTAATTGTGATGTGAGTTAAACTTGTTTATGACAACAAGATGTTTGGTGCTCCTCTTCAACTTGGTCACCAACAAGTGTCCTCCTCCTTGCTAGAAGATCAATGGTGTCCAACGCCAACTCTGAGACGCCCACCGCGGCTTCCTACTACGGTGACCCTTGCCTTGATTTGTTTTTCAACGTTAGACCATCAGATCGATACAGCGACTAAACCAAGCGCCCCTCCCATGGTTATCTTGAAGCCTTCTACACCGTGGCATCTTGGCTCCACCGCAACCACCTCAACACTTCGGCGTGCAAGTTAACGCCGACTCCTTCCAAGGCTTGTATGCCCTCGTCGAGATTCTCCACAGCCTTCTACTTGCGGAGGAGGATTTGGAACACCGTATGAGCGAACAGCAAGCGTGGAAAGGAAAGCTTATCACGTGGAAAGTCCAACCTGTCTCTTGCCAAAGGTGTTTGATTTGATCCTCCAAGTGGCTGTCGATGAAATCAAGGCAGAGCATATGATTGAGAAGGTTTGTTGATCTTGAACCACCACATAAGCCCAAGTTTTTGATAAGCTCCTCCGCCTGGGAGACAGAGTACGAGGCCACGAGGACCATGTTTGAGGAGAAAGCCGTCGCCGGAAAAGAGTTTCATACTCTCACTCACTGTTGTTGACTGGTGCACTCATCAAATCCCTCCCGTTCCAACAAGGCAAATGTGTAAAATGGACTAAATTAAGGTGAGATTTTTGGGAGCATTTGGTTGTTTATTACTAATTCCAAAATATTGAAGCAAAAACAAATTAAAAAATTAAAACCAAAATTCACACAATTTATAAAGCGGAGCCTCAAATTATGATTCCGAATGCATGCAGCAAAACATAGTTTTGAGTGCTCTTGACCAGTTAAACATGTATGCAGATGACATAGATTACACATAACTACTGGTGTTACAAACTTAACAAACTCCCCTGGTTTAGAACTCGAACCCCAACCATAACATCATGGTTAAAGACCTAATGCAACCATGATCCAAATCGAACAGCGTTTCTGACAAAATTCTTTCTTCTCAAGATTATATATCTTCTTCACCAAAATAATCTGTTTGCAACTTTTCATCATCTGTGAGCCAATCCGAAAACATCATCTCATCTATATCTGTGTAACAATACAAAATAACAGACAAGCAAATTTCAACCAAAGATCAATATGGATCAAGCAATCAGCACAGGTAAGCTAGGGAATTACGTTTCCTCATTTTATTTATAGTTTCTTTCTTAGCAATATACCATATATTACTCCATGTTTTCTTCTCAGTTTATCATATTTTCTTCCAAAACAACGCCAACTCAAATGGCTCCCCATTTCATTAGTGCCCTTACGCAGCAAGAACTTGCATGAATGCTGCAGCTCTTGCACAAAGCATATGGGTATACCGTCCGAGAAAATATTCAGCAAACCATGACCCACACAAACTCTCCACCCATTCCTCGCCACGTGTCCCTCTCCCTCTCTTCCTCACTCTCCGGATCTCATCTCTCCCTCTCACTCTTTCAGCTCTCTACCACTCTCATCTCTCTGTCACTCTCACCCCTCTCCCGTCTCTCTCCCCGAGTTCCCTCTCTCGCAGATCTCTTTTTCCCTAGGATCCCTTTCCCTTTTCGGTGACACACCCGAGACCCCTACACTCACCGACGAAGGTACACCCACCATCGCTCTCTGTCCCTCCGTCTCTGTGGACCTCCGGAGCAACCAGAGGGCACCCAAAATCCAGACCCCGGCGAACCCGTAGCTTGCGAGCCCAAATCCGGCCACCTCCGGTCTTCTCTCGGCGAAACGAAGGTACAAAACTCTTCCTTTCACCTTTACCTTCATTTTTCTGGGTAGATCGTAGGGTAAACAGGTGGTTCAACGTCGACCGGAGCTCGTGAAGCTCCGGCTTCTTCTCCGACGAAACTCGGGCCACTGGACAACCCAGAAACCAACCAACCCTTTGGGCTGGGCTTTCAAGCCCAAAGCCCTTTAGCCCTAACCCAGTGGAAACCAGGCCTTCGGGCCGAATTGAAACCCGGGCCGTTGGCCCGTGGAACTTAAGCCCTTCAGTCTGTCAAGCCCAGACCCAAAACCCTATTGGATCCAGGCCTTTGGGCCATGGATCCGGTCCATTAACCTTAAAAGTTAAAACCCATTGGACCCAAACCCTTTAGGGCCAATCCGGGCCGACCCAAACCCTTGACCCGGCCCGTGACCCGTTGACCGACCCGGTCTGAACGTTGAACGTTGCTCGTTGACTTGGACCGGTCAAAGTTTTGGAGGTAATATTGTGTTTCCTTTTCCCATATGGATTTGGTTTGAGGGCCATCTCCAAGGGCTGATGGTGATTTCTTTTCAGGAATGTTTGTTTCCTTTTCCCATACGGATTTGGTTTGTTTTTCCCATTTGATTTAGGGAGGGCCAATTATATAAAGACACAGTTAGCTTCTACAATTTTCCCATGCACTTACTGATTCATATCTACATTGTGTAATCCAGAAAAAGCAAGCATGAAAAAGCCATCAGAAACTATGCCTAAACCAAGATATAGAGAAGACACGATTGAGGGTTTAGACATGGTTGACAAGCCGCAACAAAGTAAAAGTACGACGACTGAAAGTAAAAGCCTTTTTGGCAAGGTAAAAAAGTTGTGGAGGAAGGAGGAAAAAGATGGTGAGAAAAAGAAAAAGAAGAAGAAGAAGAAGAAGAAGAGCAAAGAAAAAGATATTGGGACGAAGACATCTTCATGCTGCTGGTCATCGAGTTGGTGTGGAAGTACACGAAGCAGACAAGAACGAAATAGTAGCAGCTGTAGCTGTATCTTCGACGCTATTCACTACATTCACTACAAGAAAATATGGATTCTGTGAGGAATGGGTTTCGTCACACATTGGTCACTTAATTTTGGAATATGTGACGTATTTATCATCACATAAGTGTTCCTGAATTTCGTCCCTCACAACTAATCATGTGTGACGCTTTTAAATAATTCCTCACATAATTTTTCTATATGTGACGAATTTGTAGGCGTCACATAGAATTTGGTCACCTATTCCATGTTTTCTTTTAGGGATTGATCGTGGTGTTTCTTACCACTACTCTGTTGGATGCTACGACGACTGTATTGGACGCGGCTACATCTCGGACTGATTCAAGCATATTTGCTTACATCAGAAGGATCTGTGACTTCGTTTTGTTTTGTTTTTCAGGAAAGAATTTTTACCTAGAAATCTTGTTTTGTAATTTATGTGAATATAAATGGTTTAAATGAAACTTACTAATAGATGATCTCTTTGGAGTTATTTGGATTTTGGATTTGGGTTGTTTGTCCAAAAGCCTTTTGGAGTGATGACCTTAAATGTTTTTTAAGGCTGTTGGAGTGTTTTAATTGTTAGATTTTAATTTTTGTACATTAAAACAAAGATATAACTGTCTCAAAGTATCCCATGTTCCGGAGTACTATACAAAACATCCTTGACATTCTTTGCTAAGTGTTTTACCTAGATCTTAGGCTCCCTTTGTAACAACCAAAAAAAAGGGGACAGAGTGCATTTACTTTAAGAGGAATGGAAATATACGCACCCATGTTATTCTTCTCGGGTAATGCTAGGGAGACCAAATGTGGTCTCACTTGATGCTACCAAACTTGGAGGCCAACCACCTAATATATTCCATAATGGGAACAAGATTCCAGGGGATCGAGCAAAGACCTTGTGATTATTATATGCAAGAGAAAGAGTGGAGGAGGAGGAAACGACAGGGTGAAAATCACTATTCAACGTTAATATAGCATGCGTGTCTCACATTGCCACATAAATATTTGACATTTGACCAAACCATCAACTTATATGAATGAGTAAATTGATCAAATTTTGAAACGATAAATTGTAACATGAGAAAATTAAAACCCTCGTAACCTCACCCAAAACAAAAAACAAAAAATAAAACAAATCAAATACCACAACCCAAAAATTAAGAAAAAAAAATAATTGGTCAACTCCTTAATTCAATAATACAATAAGTTAAATACAATCATCTTAAAATAGCATCCAATACCCATAATTAACGATTTGGCACACGCACCTAACAAACTTGGAGGGTAAAATAGGCATGAAAAAATTGAGAGCTATGCCATAGCAGACGTTGACTCAGAAATGAAAATTTTTGCTGAAGTGAAAGTATGGTCATACTGTTATTTTTTTAAATACAAAAACTTTGTTGTATGCCTAATTTAACTTAACAATACAAAGGACAGAGAGATAGGAGTGCGGCACAGCAAGGAGAGGTAAACTCCAATGGGTAATATCTAATCTAAAAGATATGGTAGAATGTCACAAGAATATTCCAAATATGAAAAGATTTACATAATCACATTCCTAATCTAATAGGACTGCAACGAACTTGTAATTTTACCTTAAAATCTCTCAAACTTTATGATATAAAGATGCCAATTAGCTAGAAATTTCACTGGAACTACCTTTCTTTATGTGAAGGGATTGGGAATTTATGGAATTTGTTTAAGATTCTTTCATTTTCTGAAGTATATAAATTGTTATCTTCTTCAAGATGAGTAACTTGAAACAACATAAGGCCCATTCTATTTGTATTCCTCAAGAAATTTCAATGGATATCCTAGCATGATTGTAAGAGTACTGAAGACAAGGATCCAAATCAAGAGGACATCAAAGGGTCAAGTTAGTGACATTTGTCAATATATGAGATAGGTAGTTATTCTAAAAAATAATGGGTTTGTGGATCAATTTTCCATTTTTCATTGCATTACATTGGCTCCAAAAAGACATTTTAGCCAAAATGGTCTCTTAAATTAGCATAACTCCTCACTTTGGTCCTTGAGATTTGAAATCGATAGAAATAGTTCTTGAGTTTGTCTACCATCAATCAATTTGGTCATTTTGTGAAAAATCTCTGTTAAATAAGAATCAAAATAACAAAAATACCCTCAATTTAATAAACAAAAGACCAAAAAGATTTGACAAAATGTGAGTGTATTTTTGTCACTTTGGTCTTATTCAACGGAGACTTTTCACGAAATGAGCAAAATGCTTGATGATAGATAAACTCATGGACCAATTCTATCAATTTCAATCTCAAGGACAAAAATAAAGAGTTATGTCAACCTACTCTTTTAGCTAAAAAGCCTTCCTTAAACGATGTGTGTCAAAAGAAAATAGTAGTATAAATGAATCATTTAAAGTGCAAGTATACTAATTTTTTAGGTAGAAAGCAGGGCTAAAATTCTTATTAAAATTTTGTTTGTCTTGGCTATCACTACTGTAATTCTGAAAACTAGGTCATTTGATTTTTCGGCTTTTGTATTGAGTTGTTTGTTAAAGTGTAGTTTGTGCATTATTCATGCCCGTAAATAGACGGTGCTGAATGCATATTTAGAAGCGTACACTGTTGGTAATGGTGCTTTGCTTTTAACTTTCGCCTGCCCTCGCTCGAGCATTTCTTATTGGTTTTGTGGTGTAAATTTTATACCTCTGTTTGGTTGTGTGTTCAGGCCTACAATTCCTCCAATTTGTACTTGAAATTAAAGCAAATGGTACAGGACACCAAAAACATAGCTTCATTTCATGATAAGGTAAGCAAATACACCGTCTAACTTGCACAAATGAAAGATGAAACCAGTAAAGACTGTTTTTCAAGCAAGCAGCAGCATCAGATTATGCGGGATCGGAGCCATTGCCCTGACGGCACTTGGCGCTTGTTCGGTATCTCAGCAAGACTGTACTTTCTGATGATACCAAAGCAGACTATGCAAGCTACTACAATGATCAGAATGCCAAGTGGACTGTATTTGGGTAGCACTAGAAACATACCTGAAGAAAATGATACCACCATTCCTCCAATGGAGTACTGAATGAAACTTGAAGGTGTCGTTAGAATGACCCGTGAGAAAGCTGACAACCTAAAATGGTTATACACCACAATAATTGATAGAAAGAAGGAGATGGCGTCGGATACCACAAACACTCCGAAAAATGCCCTTCTGTACAAGACGGCCATTCCGTTGCTTTTGAATCCTCCAGGCATTGTGAAAGCTGCTGCAAAAGTGACGGTTGCAATAAGCATCGCTACCACTAGATCAGTGTTAAACTTGTTCGAGTCATCCCAATAAGCTTCAAGTGCTCTCTTCTTTGCAATGACCAAAGTGCTGTTTGGTGTATCCTTCTTTTCCGGTGATTCCAGTTTCATAAATTCACGGCGGATTTGTTGTTGGAAGACTGGCACACCAACAGCGCGGCCCAAAAGTCTCGAAACCGGCAATCCACTGAAGGCACTCTAGAGTGTATAATACTTTGTTAGGCTAACTGGGTCTAAAAACAAATACAGAAAGAGTAATTTCTCTTGCCAAATAAGTGCTTATGTTGCCAAACTAAGAATCTAAACATAAGACGAGCTAAAAACTCAAAACGAAATAGCTATCACACCTATATTTCTTACCAGTTCAATATCGTCCCCAAGAAAAATGTCAACAGCCTTCAAGTGTTGATTATTGATAGCAGTACTATCCACTCTAGGGTTCTTTGCCAAAGCTATCAGGACATTAGGATTACTTCGACTAGCAGCTAGATGCAAAGGTGTGTTTCCGTCGTTGTCAGCTTCATTTATAAGTCCTGCATATTTAGGCGTGTCCACAATGTAGCTGATAACATCAAATTGATCACCTAAAACTGCTGCATGCAGAACCGTTTGGCCTTTGTGATTGACCAATTCACAAGTATCAGGCCGCCATTGAGTCAACTCTTCCATCACTTTCGGACGGCCTGCGTATGCCGCAACATGAAGAGCTGACATTCCAGATTTGTCCAAGATGTAAGAAATAGAACTATCTTGCTGCATCAATAATCAAGTTGCTCCAACGTTCCCTCTCAATGCTGCATAGTGTAATGGAATCCATCCGTTGGCGTCAACTTCTTTGATTATTTCAGGATTCTTGGAAACCATCATCTGCAGCCTAAATCATATGGAAACATAAAGGGCAGTAGGAAGCGAGTTAGTTGAAATTCGTTTCACAGAGGAGTGATTTCATTTTTTTTAGCTTATGAATATAAATTATTTACCTTCACAGTTAATGCGAGTAACTGCGGCATGTAAAGCCGTGACGCCATTAATCCCCTCAAAGGAAGGAGACGTTGGCGAATTGCCTAACATGTGCAGAGCTATGCTTCCATACCCCTTGCAAATAGCTAAGAATAATGGCGACTCGTTGGCGATGTTAGTTAAACAACATAGTCCGGAGTCGGCTTCAACCAATAGGATCACGACCTCGAGGTCACCTTGTCTGATAGCAACATGTAGTGCCGTATCGCCAATTGAATTTTTGGTCCGGAGTAACTCTTTATACGCTTCGCCATCGGCCAGCGCACCCTCCTCATCTACTCCTAGCTTCCTTGCTTGATTAATGAGCAACCCTACTATTTCATCACAGCCTGCTCTAGCAGCTACATGCATGGGAGTGTCGCCTTTGTTGTTGGTGGCCCAAAACTGTGGAGATTGACTGTGGATCAGGACGACTTTGAAGAAATCGATTTGTCCAAACTCAGCTGCAAGGTGAAGAATATTATTATTCCTCGGTGTTTTCTGCAGAAGAAGATGCTCACAGTCTCCACTTTTTTCAAGAAAACCAAGATCCCCCGATCTTGCTGCCTCATACACAGAAGTATCCATGTCAAATCAGACGAAATTAGCCCCTGTCAACTGGCACAAGATTAGTCCGTCATTTCAGTGTAATTATATTTATATATGCCTATTTGCGGAATCAAAATGAGAAAGTGTGTGATTGGTGCTTGATTTAATACGCCGTAGTCGTCAACATTTAGGTACATATCAGAAATTACTTGGGTATAAGAGGTTGTCTAGTTTAAAGGCCAGGTTTAAGTAAACTACCTACATTTTTGTGCCACAGTGACTAAAGTTCTTCAAAGAAAGCCCGTCAGGCATCAGGTAAGCCTGTGGAATAGTATCTACCAGGAGCCTAACGCGCACCATCTGCAATGGTCTAATTTGAGAGAGGAGCGATGAGTATCAAACATACTGCATTTCTACCACATAAAAGTCCTTGATGTACTTTGACGAAACTACCAGATGATGAACTACAAACAAGAATTCCACATTGATAAATCTTTCACTAATGCTAGGCAGAGTATCTAACCATCACCAAATAGTGATTCCTAACAGTCGACAACATGTTTCAAGGCTTCATCAGGGTAAAATATGTCCAATTACCATAAGCATGACAGTCCAAATAATAAAATTCATTCCAAAGTGGAATGAAGAGGCTTGTTCAGACAATGTTTATGACCAAAGACCGTAAAAACCAAATACAGAAGTACCTACTAGATGATAAAACCAGTCAATAATCCGACTACCAATTTTAACATCTGGCAGTAGCTGACTACTAGACTCTTAGTACTCCCTATTTCTCGTCTTTCTCTGCCAGGAGCCATTTTCATACTAATACACTATTTGTCCACCAACGTCTGATGTAGTGACGGTAGAAAGTTCAAAACAATCAAGTAAAATAAGAAAACCATCTCCAGTCTCCAAATGGAAACAGCTTGACTGATCATAATAAACACCATCTTTGCCACATAACATACAATCTTGCTAAGATTCCTATCGCTCTTCCACACTCCACTGTCAAAAGCTGCCTCTTCAGTAAATCATTGAGAATATGGATCATACTCAGTACTAACTTACTCCTAACAGTAGTCTTCAACCGAATTACGTACCATACGACAAGGCAGTAATGACCTATAAATAATTCTCTTCATCCTAAGAAAATAGTTTTAGTCACGGATGTGATTCTATTTCCCAAGAAACTAAGAAATGTGAACACATGCAGAGCAAGTTAACTTTGACAATACAGACAAAACACATGATCTTTTTCTTCTTTGGACCATAACATTTGTTTAAGTCATATGCCCCAAAAAATAGAAAACTCTACATGTACTAACCCGAAAATTAAACATTCTAGCCTTCAATAATGGTTCATGCAATTAGGAAAACTAAGTTAAGAAACAGCAGCAAATCAAACAAGGATTGAATTCAAAACCAATTACCTAGTAAGAATGAATCAACAAATGAGCTAAAATTGTTAGTAATATAAATGTATTTATTCTGTTTAACAGAATTCAAAATTTAATTACGAGTACTTTTCCTCTTAGATGCACAACAGGATTGTTTTCACTTGCTGGTAGGTTGTTAAGTTTTCTGCAAGTTCTAAAGAGGAGGGTCCAAGAGGAGACACCTAGACGGAGCAACTGATACGAAGTACAGAAGACAGGCAAAGTGCGAGAGAGGAGGTAAATAGTCGCGGTGAATGAAAGAGAAAACATATATCATTAGCTGTTAGATAATAGCATATTTAAAACATAAGGAAGTGTGTAAGTTTGTGTGTCCCTTGCTGTCATTTGACAATCCACAAAAACACAAAGAAGGATTTATCTTCATCGACAGGGGAAGCCTCTCAAGAGAAACATGCATTTAACGAGGGGCATACCTTATCTTTGAAGGAAAACTATGTAGGAGAAATGAATGGAGAATTAGCACCAAGGATTATATGCAACAAATTGGCAAAAGTAAACAAGTACAGTAATTACTTAACCTATAAGAAAATTGCAAATGGCAAGAAACACCAATTTATCACATAGCTTTGACATATATTACCTTTGAGCTCTAGCCTGCGATGATATCTCTAAGCTGAACAAAGCTTGAAATATGGACACACTCATCGACCAATGATGGTATCCCATCAACCTCAACCGTCACAACGGAGCAAAGAATCATTCCTAAAAGGAGCTCTAGCCTTCAATAATGGTTCATGCAATAAGGAAAACAAAGTTTAGAAACAGCAGCAAATCAAACAAGGATTGAATTCAAAACCAATTACCTAGTGACAATGAATCGTCATATAAGCTAAAACTGTTAGTAATATAAAGGGCGATTCCAAGCCAACAAAGCTCTCCACTTTGCGAGAGTCGGGGGAATAAATTGGCAAAAGTAAATATAAGTACATAAGAAAATTGCAAATAGCAAGAAAAACCAATTTATCACATTAGCTTTGACAATATTACCTTTGAGCTCTAGCCTGCGATGATATCTCTAAGCTGCAGAAAGCTTGGAATATGAACACACTCATCGATCAATGATAGCATCCCATCAACCTCAACCATCACAACACCCCTTGTTCCAGGAGTGTAAGCCTGCAAGTGAGACCCATTTAACAACAAGACTTTCCCCTCCTCTGTAAACTTCAACACTCGGGCAAAAGTTGGAGAATCAAGTGCTTCGTTGCTAATTTCAAGCTCTTTGGTCCAAGACTCGTTAATGCCATAATCCTTCATCATCCAGACATTGATATTACGAGTCGAGCAAGAGCGAACAGTTACAGAGAGGCAACCATTCAAGACTCCAAGGGTAAATTGAGTTTCTAGCAAATCCAAACAGCTCGGCAGCTGGTCTAAGTCCAAATAACAGGGAGGAAGTGGTAACTGCTGGAAATGCTCCCTTTCAACGTCAAAGGCCCATATGAAAGTCGAACTATCCCCATACTGACCAACCCAATGAAGGAATCCATTAAGATAAACCCCATATGGTTGAAACCGAGAGGAAGGGAACACAGACACATCCCCAATGCTTCTCCAAATCCTGGAGCCAACAGTCAAAACCAATACTTCATCTTCACTAGATTTATCACTCGGAGACATAAACACAACAACTTTGTAGACATTACTGATGGGACTAAACCCAAACCCACAATAATACGGATTATCAATTCTCCGACGCTGACAATAGGCGATAGTATGGGGAGACAAGGATATCACTGGAAGCGCTAAAGACTCGCTAGTAATGGGATTGGAAATGTAAAAATGGCGTTGGTTCAATTCATATATGCAGAGCAAACCATTGCAAGAACCCAAAATGCCCACACGAAGAGCGTGGACATTTGGATCTCTAGCAAGCTTCAGTACAAAGTCATTTGGGTTTGAGACCTTATCAAGGTCGAACAATAAGTATCCCTCCGATTTGGGGTTTATGGGGCCGCCTCTTAAGCCATGGAACAAAAATGAAGGGGGTGTTTGTGAAAATAGGTGTTTGGTAAACTGGGGGTCTGAGAGCGAATGGCGCCAAGACTTGCACACACACTGGCATTGGATGAGGGTTTTAATTGGGACTTTGCAGAATATCTGCACTGTTATGTGGTCTGGCAATTGCAGAATGTAGGGTTTCTTATCATCCTCTTCTATGTCAGTGTTGGTTGGTTCGGTTTTCTTTGTGTGTGCATCCATGTCGATTCGCTGCAAAAAACTCACAAGATTCTCAAATCAAGATTCATCCATAGTAAAGTTGAGCATGTATGTGCCAAATACATCACATGATGGGACTAGAAATGGAGGTCGGATTACCAACAAGTAAAACAATCCCACAAGAAGGATTGGATTAAACACTCTAACTCAAAATTTTCAGAAGAAATCCAGTCTCTAAATTTACGAAATGGAAAAAACCCAAATCCATGAAAACAAATCCATAAATCCAAACCCTTCATTCTTATTAGAAAATAGCTGCTGACAAATACACAGAATAAGACTAAACCTGAAAAATAAACCCAGAAAAATAAAAATTAAATAAAGAAGGAAACCAGAAGAACTGAAAGTACCTGTTGATGCAGCTGTGAGGAGCTCTTGTTTCGTTTCTCTTCTTTCTGCTTGAATGAAAGTTCGTGAAGCCTTGTCTAGAGACTCGGAAAGGTTTACAGCTTGGGTGTTTTAACAAATCACTTCGATACTGTTCATTTTTTTGGTTAGTTTTCCTCATTTAATAGACGTTGCCGTCGTTGTGGCTAAAAAATGCTAAAACACTTTTTTAGGCTGACGTTATTTGCATAATTATTTTTATATTTCATGTACTATTAAAAATTTTGATCGTCGGATTAAATAGGGGAAATGTTATTAGTATTCTAAAAATCTCATTCTATATTCTTGACAAATGTATTTTTCTTTCTAAATATAGAAAGTTTGAAGTGTAGAATGAGATTTTTGGAGTGCCAATAACAATTCCCTTAAATAAATTAAAGAAAATTGATGAACAAAATTTAAACTTAGTGTATGAGAGTTAAAAAGTGGTGTGTGAATTTGAACCACTTAGTACTATGATTTAGTGATACTCTTCTTCACTTGTAAATAAGAGGTCTTAGATTCGATTCTGACTAAAAACGAATTTGAACCCCATTATTGCTAACCTATTGTGAGGCTAAGCACACCCTTCCCCATTAGTGTAGATAATAACACTACCTTAAAAAAAAACATTGTTAGCTATGAGTCGTGACATTAAAAATGAAAAATGATTTTTGCATTTTTTTTTTTTGTTTCTTCATTATTTTTCCCTTGTTTTTTAGTCATTAGATTACTAAATCAAAAGAGAAATAAGATATAGAAACAAAGGGAGGAGTGGAAGAAAATGAATGTGAAAAATCATTGCCCTTGAATATTAGAGTATGATTGTTTTTCTAGTTTTGCTTTCAGTAGAAAATGTTTTTCTGGCTTTGCTTCCGGTAGAAAAATTATATTACAATTTTATTGTAATACATTAAATAAACCGTCTTATTTTCAGTTCGTTCGAACTTGCATGTAGACGAGAGGCACACTATTTGAGCTAACGGTTCACCTAAACCTACATATAGAGCTTGTACTTTCTTCAAAGAGAATGCGTGTTTTTGCATGAAACGCGGCCAATCCTAGATGCAAAACGAGGTTAGAAAGATCAAAGACATGCGTGCATTTACAAGAGACAGACCGTATTTTCTTCACTGCCTTCAACTTGGCTTTACCATCAAGAGATATATATACACATAATTAACTCTACTGCACTAAACTACAATATTTCTACATCGAGGGAAACCTTGCTAGTGTAATCTATCTTCTTCTCTGACCCAAATTCGATCTTCACAAGAACGAACCTCATTTGCTTAAGTTGGTGATGCAGAAAGTAGGAAATCCGGTTGTAGTCTTTGTAGCAGTATACCACAAAAGGGACACAGTGGTTTTAAGGATGTGTCTAGCAAAGGCGATGCGGCCAAAGATTTGAAATTCAAAGGAAGACCGGGGGTTGCAAACAGAATCGCTGGTGCCGGTTTGGAAGCTCGTCTATGACAGCATGTGCAAAACCATGTCGGAGTAGTAGGACAAATCTCCATAGAAATGGAACACCTGACTAGTTTGTGGCCCTTTCCGCTGCAGATGGCAACTTCTGGAGATTCAAATGGAACTGATGCTAAACAATAGCTGCACGTCTCTGCTGATGTGCATTTACTGGACTTAAACCTGTTGTTTGAAGAAGAATACGGAGCAATACTTAGTACATAGCACTTATAGTTTACACAGACAGTTGCATTGCCAATTACGAAAGCCTCATACTTTTGGAACCTTTTCACTGGTCGCTTCAATTCTATTATAATGTGTTTAACTATCTAATCAACTTATTATTCCCGCCATCTGAAAGCCAACCACCACCCAGAAACCTCTAACGACCTTAACCACTAACTGCCCTCTGACCCATTTACCAGCTGTGCTGGCACATCACAAGGAACATCATAACCAGAAAAGGCAATAGTACACTATAGCAAAAACATACCCCAAAATATTGAATTTCAAATTTCCAACATCCAAATTCAACAGCCAGAGACACTTTAAAGCTTTAAGATACATGGAAAAATTTAAAATTTCACTAAATATTTTAGTTTTTTAACAATCAAATTAAGAAGGGACTGCTTCTTCTTTTTTTATATTTTATGGTCCCACTCCGAATGCGTAATCTTCACTGCACCAAGCCTCAGAGAAGTATATTACATGAAGTTATTTTCGATGATATATGAAGTCAAAATGCAGAGACACGGAAAAGCATGGTCCTCTTGATTAAAGTAACAAGAATAAACAATCATATCAATAAAGAGGGTAGACAGATTCCTATGACAAAGGATAAAAGTCAGGAAGTACCTCCTATCCCGCTTTCCAACTTCAGATGCGAGGACCTTTAGCTGACCGTGCACATGATCATGATTAAGCTCAATCCACTGCTCCATTTGTGCTAAGCCAACAGGAAACCACTTTCCAGGTGGAGAATTTGGGGCTGAAGTAGGCATTTGACTTAAAAGAGCAGAAAATGTAAATCCCACAAGCCTTTCCCGGAGTTCTTTTTCACTGTTCAAAAGCAGATTGATCCACAAAGACCGCTTCTCTTTTTCAGCACCATGTACTCCTTTCAAATTCAGTAATTTACTGTTTATTTCATCAGCCTTCATCTCTGATAGAATCACACGTCTGCAGATTATATTGAGAAGGTGTAATTGGCGAGAAGTAACTATTGAGCAACTTCGGGAGACATTCAACAAAACCGTTTCAGCAGGAATGCCCGTTTGAGATCCCAAGTATGAAATAGAGAGCCACTTAATCAGTACTTCTTCTACAAACTCTGGTTTAGAATGATTGAAAGCCAACAATGCTGTTACAATATCCCAAACAACCAGAGGTTTATCTTGCATTTCATACTGCTTTAAGGACCATAGAAAGTTGGACTCCCAATAAACCAACTCCTCAGAAAAACCAGGAATCGCTTCAACATCAAAATGTAGGGAATTGTTTGGCGAGACATCTACTTGCTGCCCACCGGTCCAGAAAAACTCAACAATGGCCTTTTGAGTCCTGAGAATGTTCGCAAAAATGTAAATTCATCAAGAATTAGAAAACAACAACCAATATTGTAACTCTACATTAGGTTGCTTGTTCTTTTCTATAGAATACATAAATTCTTTTACGTGCTCTTCTGCTTCCTGTAATATTGTTATGACTTAGGACGGATGAAGTGGGGATTTTTTATCGGATCAATACTACAATTGATGAATTCTTGCAAATAAGAAAAACTCACAATTTTATCTTTTTTTCCTCCATTTCTTTATCCAAGGAAGATAAAGGGTTCTATGTTTATGAATCCTTTGACCCTCCATTTATGATAATGTTTTTGGTTGAGTTGCAACAGTGTTGTCCTTTTTTCTTTTGATATCCTTTCATTCCATCTTTAGGATTCATTCACGTTATAATAGTATATAATGTTTAGCCACTCTCAAATTTATCCAAACCACAAAAGATGGATCTAATAGAGGAATGTAATTAGCATAAAAATTATCTCACCTTGCCTCGTACATTGGGTTTAATTGTTCAACATCAGTATTTCGAACCTGCCATTTTCAATTACAGATATCTTAGTTTATTTTCACTTTTATGGTATGCGAGAATATGTTTGTATTGGCGCAAAGAAAATATCATACCCAAGCAATCACAAGATTTCCAGGGGACACTGCCAGACCAAAGCAAGAAACAAATTCTTCTGGTAACTGCATCAAATTTTAGACTGACGTTATGGTGGAATACAAAAAATTAAACAAGCATACTTAAACGGTAAGAACTTACATCAGTTGAGTTTCTCAAACGAGGAGTATTTGAAGGAATAGGTACTTCACAGAGAGAACTTCCACTCAAAATCCAACAGCGTACAACATTATCCTAGTATCATTGTAAAAGAATGGTTGCCAAATGAATAATGTAGATATAAAATATTCCACAGAAAGTTTAGGTAAGTACATACCTGGCTGCAGCTATACAAAGATTGCCCATCAAACGCCCAAGCTAATCCTGTAACCTGGTCAGTTCCCAGAAGCATAAATAGCCAGCAGTATGCAATATAAGATTTTGACAAATAAAAAGACACTTACCGTCTGGCCATGTGCATCATATGTGCCAATCTTGTCAAAATTTTGGCTAGATATGTTGCATATCCACAATTCAAAAGAGCCAGATCCTTTTCCAGCTGCTAAGTGAATTTTGTCTGGAGACTTAGTAGGCACAATGACTGAAAGTACAAAAACTGGGGCAGCATCGCTTGCAACCTATTTAAAAGTTCAAAATAAAAGCATGCTCAACAATACAGTAGAATAACACGAAGAGCACTGTATACAAAAAGACAGAAAAAGAAAGAACTACCTCCTGCAATAGGGAAAAGGAAGTGTCGCTAGGTTCTGATGACTTCAGCAACTTTTCATTATTCCCCAGCCAGATCCTCACACTGGAAAGATAAGGAGGCACAAAATGAATACAAGAAATCACAGATAAAACTAACAAAAGACAAAACAAGAAGACAACAATCGAATCTCGAACAGATAATAAAGAAATTTTTGGGTAATCAGTTAGCAGATTAATCAGAGTCGCAACTCTCGTAAACGAGTCCAGTGGTAGGACTACTGCTAGTATGTTGAAACAAGATACAAACTTGACAACTAAACTGACACTAGAATGCAAGTAGCATGTTGCTCAACACCATTTAAGCACCTTGCTTCTACACTGCAAAAACTATTCTCTAACTAGACAAGAAATTTCATACAAGTGCTATAAGAGTGAAATTCATTATGATTTCCAGCATACCTAACTTACCTCCCATCAGTACTAGCTGTAGCCAACAAAACTCTAGGATTTGAAGAATCAGAATCAAGCAACGCCCAACCAATAGCTGTGATCCATGAATTGTGCGCCTGAAGAATCCCTATGAGTGCCACAGTTTCCGGGACCCTGCTTTGATCAACAGAGTAGCATTCTGGTATAGGAATTCTCCATACAGAAACTTTCCCGGACTTCCCTCCAACTGCAAGTAACGACATGGACAAACCATCTTGAGGAACTGAACAGGTTTTGGATAGTGAATGCAGCATTGGCGACCAGGCAACTACAAGAGTTGATAGCATTGCCGTGCGAGAAGCATATTGATCTGCAGTTATAAGAGGGAGTGTGCTGTTTTCTGGTATCTCCTTGGCAGGTTTTACTTTCGATTTTGAAGCACGAACAATCTTATTTGAACTCTTTTGTTTCACTGGGTCATAGTCAATCTCAGGCTCTATTTCATGCTCCTAATACGAGTATAGTCAGAAAGACCGTCGGTCGGTGCTCAGGGCATAAATCAATAGGACTGCACCTGACAGATGAGAGGACTTACATTTACATCTTGCTGTTTTGATGAAGAAGCCCATGCCTCCCCAAAATTTATACTCTGAAGATAATCATAAAGCTTGGCCGATACATTTGCAACCTGAGCAATATGCATAACCAATTCAGAACCACAAAAGACTACAACTTTATAACATCAACCAGTTTAAACTGCAGATACACATATACCTCTATCCATTCAGCACAAAAATCGCAATATGGAGAGCGATAAAGCTTGACGAATCCTTGGGTGGTGCAGACAGCCAGCAAGCAGCCAGCGTTCGGAGCAAGCCCAACGGGGGACCAAGAAATCGATCGAACACAAGGTTCTTGGTCCCGTGATAAAATGGTAGGCAGCATGCAATTAGAGAATAAATCTGAAAACCCAACAACAAAACAACGAATGAGAATGGAAACGCACATTATATAATCGAAGCCGAAAAGATCGAAAATTTTGGTGTATGCAATGTACCTTGTCTGTCTATGACACCAATCGGAAAAGGTTGGCTGTTTTTTATGGTGATTAGGCCTCTTGGTCCAAAAGGCAGAGCAGCCGGATTCTGCGACACACACACAAACATAAACACTTGACCAAACAAAAACACAAACACTTGACAAAACAAAAACATTATGAAACATGAATCAGAGTTTCTGTTTTGAAATTACGAAAAAAACGAAGTTAGAGTGAGAGGATTGATGAATGGAGAGTACCAGGATGGTGACGAGGTGGCCGGAAGCGACGGCGATGAGGTTCTCGTCGGACCAAGCGATGGCGTCGGGGAAGGATGGAGCGCCGACGAGCACGGTGGCCTGGAAACGGGAGTCGGCGTTTTGGGTTTGGATTTGGGAATTGGAGGGAAAGAAAGACATGGCCGTTGGGATCCGATTTCAATGTCGGGTGACCTCAGTTCAGTTCAGTTCAGTTCAGCAGATGACAGAACCCTAGTTCGAGTCTCGATGGAAACTATAACTGAGATTTATTAGTTTCACTTATTTATAATTTTTTTTTGTCGGCTACTTTTATTGACACCTCACATTTATTAAAACACTGCATAATTAATATTTTAAATAAAAAATTTAAAATGTCATATAAACTTATGTGCATTTGTCAGTTTGTCATTTTAAACGATTTGTCATATCAATTATCGAAAATCATAATTTGTTGTCTCATCTTAACTTTGTTAAGTTTTTTTTTTTTATCTAAAATAAGTTTATGTTTAGAGTTATTTCGAACTATTGATCTCCTTTTCACAATTTTTTTTTTACAAAATATACGCACACTAGGAGTTTGGTGTGTTGGGGGGGGGGAGCAGGGGACTAAATTGATTTTGAACTTTTGACTTTTTTTTCCTTTGGTGAACTAATAAAAAGTACATTACACTCACTAACATGAAGTTTAACTAATTACAAACTTTGAGGATTCAACGTGGTCAACCATGTCCATTTATTAAAAAGGGTGTTGAAATATTCGAAATAGCCTTGAAATGTCAAAAATAATCTTGAAGTGAACGAGTGGGAAGTTGAAATATCCGAAATAACCTTGAAAACATGTCATGTGTGTGGGGGACTAAATTGATTTTGAACTTTTGACTTTTCCTTCTTTTCGGTGAACTAATAAAAAGTACATTAGACTCACTAACATGAAGTTGAACTAATTACAAACTTTGAGGATTCAACATGGTCAACCATGTCCATTTATTAAAAGGGGAGTTGAAATATTCAAAATAGCCTTGAAATGTCCAAAATAATCTTGAAGTGGAACAAGTGGGAAGTTGAAATATCCGAAATAACCTTGAAAACATGTCATGTGTGTTGGGTTTTTGGGTATACTAGCAAAGGTGCCCACGCGATGCTGCGGACTTTTAAACGGCATACAACATGTAGAAAGTTATATTTACAACTCTGCCTAACTCAAGGAATAGATAAAAGTTTGTTTCTTACCGAAATATACGAATTTGAATGAAATGTATCAAAGAAGTATAAAGTGGAGCAAACCTTGTAATTTCTGTAAGGTGGGCAGCTGCAATACCAATAGTGATATAATATGACGGAATCTGGCTGTTGTAATCCAGCTTGGTTGTTCTTTGTAAATTTTTTGGAAAATGTAGTAGTTGGCTTGAAAAAAACAATCAAGAGCGTTGAACGAATCAAACCTGAATGATATCAAAATCAAATCTTAATTATGTACCAATGGTGAACTTATATTTCAGAGGCACCATGAAGCATAAAAGTTTAACCAAACAATGAAAATTCAGCTAGAAGCGTCAATGTTTAAACATTTGAAACGTATAAAAGTTCAATGAAACAATCAAAACCCAGTTAGAAACCTCAATGGTTGAATTCAAAAACCATGTAAGTTTATGTTGTATTAATTCATGCACATCATTTCACTAAAACAACGGAAAATGCGAAGAAAGGTTAGACATACATAGGATTTTGATGCTAAAAGCAGTACCTGAAGTGGGCAAAAAAGTTGGACAGTGCGGTGGACTTGAGAGCTTTTCGATGAGATATAAGACACATCATTGTGGGCAAGAAATTGGGAATTTAGTGTTATGGTTTCAGTGTATGGAAACAATATTGTTTGTACCATACTTGACCAATCCCGAAACTACCGAGCACCGGCCAACGCTATACTGTCAAGGACCCAGAAGAGTTCCCCTCTGACCAGGAGGCCAATCACTACTCGACACGTGTCAAGATTAGAAGCCAATCAGAGCGCAGCACGTGTCGACATCAAGAACCAATCATAACATGACACATGTCAATGTGACAAAGCTACAAGTTTTTCTATAAATAGGGGTCATTCCCCCACAATATGGGCTAATGCCATTTGTGTTAAATCATTCACAAGAACTCACTAAATTGAGAGCTTGATCCTTTGTACTTGTGTAAGCCCTTCACTACTAATAAGAACTCCTCTACTCCGTGGACGTAGCCAATCTGGGTGAACCACGTACATCCTGTGTTTGCTTCTCTGTCTCTATTCATTTACGTACTTATCCTCACTAGTGACCGAAGCAACCAAGCGAAGGTCACAAAAACCTGACACTTTCTGTTGTACCAAAGTCTTCGCTGATTTTGTGCATCAACATTTGGCGCCGTCTGTGGGAAACGACACTTATTCCTACTCTCTTCAGCTGTGTCAAGCTGGTTTCTATCATTCGTACACTTTCTTTTGATCAGGCATCCCTCTCCAGCATGGGAAGCGAAGGAAGCCACAGCACACAGAATGACACCCCCCTTGCACATAGTGCGAAACAACGAAAGAAGGAAGGAAAACGAGTTCTTCTTCAAGCTAAAGTCGATGAGTTGGAAGCTCAGAACAACAAGATAGCAATGAGGAATGAGGTCCTCCAGGAGCAATATGAGAAGCTCTTCGAGACACTCCACGAAGCTAGGCAAGCTCAGACACGCGAGCTTGTTGCCCCCGTGGAAGTCAACCATCAACTGGGTGCCCTCCAACATGGAGGGTCACATGCATTCGACATAGATATCCCTGATAGGGAACAGATTACCCCTCGACTTGATAATCAACATGAGGCTTCTCTTAACCCAGTTGCTTCGACCCGAACCATGAGAAGTGGAGGGAGACACCTCTTTGCTGAAGGGGCAGAAGGATCGAAAGCCGTCTTTCGCGATTGTCGGGATTTCCTGAAGCAACGTCGAGAGAATTCCATCCATATAAGCTCAAAGATTAATGACCCAAGGATTTCTGAGAGACTCGGTCCCCTGCCACGGCCCAAGCCGGCCACCAATTTGGGGAAGGGGCAACAAGTCCTAGAGAGACATGAGGGTACAGGGGACTCAGAGGTGTTCCGACAGACATACCCTGGAAGCCAGTACAGCGAGTCCAGGGAAAAATCACATGCCCTTGATCAAACCTTCCTAATTCCAAGAGGAGATGGAGATTTACGAAAGAAAGCTCCAGTGACACATAACTCCGCTCAGGACCCCCTTGTCCTACAACTTCTTGAGGAAGTAAACAAGTTGAAGGCTGAACGTCAGGCTGAAATACCTGACTGGAACCAACCCAGGCCTGGCCCTCTTACAAGGAGGATCCTCAACACCCCCCTTCAAGCAAAGACAAAGCAAAAGCTTGGCTTGCAACTTTATACTGGAAAAGAGGACCCGATTGAGCACCTTAACCTCTTTGAGTCCACCATGGCATACCGGATGCACACCGACGAAGAGCGATGTCTTCTCTTCCCCTCCACCCTCTCTGGTGGAGCTCTAAATTGGTATTGTCGTCTTACACCTGAGACGGTAGACTCATTTGAGGAATTGAGGAAACTATTTGTTTCCCAACACATTTTCCAAACCGATCGCTTGCACTCTGCAGATGACTTGTACACTATCCGCCAGAAGCCAGACGAGTCATTACGTATGTATGCTGGCCGCTTCAGCCATGAATACTCCCGGTGTGCCGAGGCAGACGACAAGACTGCCCTCAAAGCCTTCACGGCAGGCCTACGTGATTGTTTCTTTAAATACATGATCAATGCCAATACTTGGAAGACTTACTCTGAGGTGATGGCGCAGGCTTATAACCATGCCTCCGCCGAGGCAAAGACATATCAGGAGAAAAGAAACCCCCTACAACCATCCTTTATCAACAAGTGGGAGGTGGAAGCCAGACTCACCTAAATGAGAAGACCTCGACTTTCCAAACAGCAGTGGCACCTCCCCATGCCTTGCATAATGCTTCACCGAATCAACAGACATATCAATTTCAAGGCAAGAGGAAGGATTTCCATCCTCACCACTCTCCTTTCAGTAAAAAGAGTAAGGGACACTATCCCGATAACCAAGGGTATCGCCACAATAACGCTCGCCCCCAGGCAGTCAATGCAGTGGGTCAAACCCGCGTCAAGATACCCCCTACCCCAAGGTATGAGACATACACGCCCTTGAATGCCACATGCGCGGCCATTTACCCCAGCATAGCTCACCTGATACCAAAGCCAAAGCCGAGGCACCCAGATTACACGCCCCCGAATAACGCGGGCATGTTTTGTTGCTACCATGAGCATAACGGCCATGATAGCGAGAAATGTATCATCCTCCGTGATCGTATTGAAGCTTTGGCACGAGAAGGAAAAATTGATCAATTCCTTCTTCACCCTCAAAGGGATAACCGTAACCAACGCCAGGTGAATGTCATATATTCCATAAGCGGCGGCACACCCATATCTGAATCTTCCAATAGGGCCATGAAAAACAGTGAACGAATTCTGAGGCCTGGTCACCAAGTGTTTCACGTGGAAGACATCAGGGGAGGGAAGTATCAAAAGCCTAACTGGGATCCGATATGTTTCTACCCTGAGGAAGAAAGAGGCATCATCTACCCTCATAACGACCCATTGATCGTGGAGGCTCACATAGCCAACTTTGATGTTCGACGAATCCTCGTAGACACAGGGGCTTCGGTCAATATCATGTTTGCCGAAGCTTTCAGGGCACTCAGTGTAGCTGAACACTTGCTCGATCGCTCGATTTCTCCTCTGATAAGCTTCTCCGGTGATATCGTGCAACCCTTAGGGAGCATACATTTACCCTTTACTATTGGTACAGGCCCTTACACGGCTACCATTACCACTAACTTCCTAGTGGTTGACTGCCCAACGGCATACAATGTCATCTTTGGGCGCGCACAGGCATCAATGATCTCAAGGCTATGGTATCCACGCATATGCTGTTGATGAAATTTCCAACCCCCCATGGCAACGGCTACATCAGAGGAGATCAGCTTAGTGCACGATCATGTTACAACACTTCAGTTAAGCAACAACACTTGCCCGGACCCAAGGAAACCCTGTCTGTACATGACCAAGTCACAAAGACCAGCCTAGATGAAGCGAACTTGGATCTTCCTGATAGCAACAATCAACCCGATGATCCTCGAGATGACTCTTTCACCCAGCAAGCCCAACCTGCTGAAGAGTTGGAGAAGGTACCTATCTCAAGAGATCATCCAGACCGCATGGTGAATATTGGCACCACATTGTCACCACCCCTTCGGTTAGCATTGATATCTTTTTTGAAAGAGAAACACTGAAGTCTTCGCCTGGTCATACGAGGACATGCCAGGCATCTCTCCCGATGTCATCTGTCATCGTTTGAGTATTGACCCCAAGATCAAGCCGGTGAGACAGAAGCGAAGATCTTATGACGCTGAACGATACGAGGCAATGAAAGCAGAAGTTGAAAAACTCAAAGGCATAGGCTTTGTCCGCGAAGTCAATTACCCGACATGGGTAGCAAATGTGGTCCTTGTTAGGAAAAATCCGACCAAAGAAAGTCTTTCGCTTCAAAAGGTCTTGTGGAGGAATGTGTGTTGACTACACCGACCTAAACAAAGGGTGTCCGAAAGATAGTTTCCCTCTTCCTCTTATTGACAGGCTTATAGACTCTACGGCAGGGTGTGAGCTCTTGAGCTTTATGGACGCTTATTCAGGATACAACCAAATCCTCATGAACCCCTCAGACCAAGAACACACGGCCTTCACTACTGACAGGGGACTATATTGCTATAAAGTCATGCCTTTCGGCCTAAAGAATGCAGGAGCAACTTATCAGAGACTGGTCAATTCAATGTTCGCCGAACAAATTGGGAAGAACATGGAAGTTTACGTTGATGATATGCTAGTCAAAAGCAAACATGCTGACCAACACATCACCAACCTATCTGAAACTTTCACCATTCTAAAGAGGTATCGAATGAGGTTGAACCCCAACAAATGTGCCTTCGGCGTGGGCTCTGGCAAATTCTTAGGCTTCATGATTAGCCAACGAGGCATTGAAGCTAACCCTGAAAAGATCAAAGCAATCCTCGACATGAAGGAGCCAATAACTTCAAAAGACATCCAAAGCCTTACTGGCAAGGTGGCAGCCTTAACCAGATTCATCTCTAAGGCCACAGACAGATGTGCTCCTTTTTTCAAAGCACTCAAGGGAAATAAGAAGTACATTACATGGACGGAGGAATGTGCCAAGGCATTCAGGAAAACCTCAAAGAGAGTACATGAGTAAAGCCCCTCTGCTCTCCAAACCAGAAGTTGGTGACACTTCTCATCATCTATCTATCGGTTTCGGCTTCAGCAGTCAAGTTCTGTTCTTATTCGAATGGACAGTGGTGTCGAACGGCCCGTCTACTACGCTAGCAAGGCCCTACAAGATGCGGAGACACGATACTCCAACATTGAGAAATTAGCTCTAGCATTGGTCATGTCTGCTCGGAAAACTTCGCCCTTATTTCCAAGCACACGCCATCATCGTGCTTACCAATCACCCTCTTCGACAGATACTCCAGAGTCCTGACACGTCTGGGCGAATGATCAAATGGGCGAATAGCATTGGGTGAGTTTGACATCTCCTACCAACCAAAACCAGCCGAAAAAGGCCAAGCAGTAGCAGATTTCATCGCCGACTTCACATATCCTGTTGACATTGCTTCTACACCTGAAGCAGTAGCTTCATTACCATCGGAAGCTCAGAAGTAGAATCAACGACCTCAGCATGGAGTCTGTATGTTGATGGCTCATCCAACCAACAGGGCTGTGGAGCGGGACTAGTCTTGACTACGCCCGACAAAGTAGCAATGGAGTATGCTCTTCGTTTCAAATTCAAGGCATCAAACAATGAGGCCGAGTATGAAGCCCTTCTAGCAGGATTACGTTTGGCCAAACACCTCGGGGTTAAACAAATTGATATATTTTCAGTGACTCCCAATTAGTGGTCAACCAGGTTACCAACAACTTTGATGCTAAGGACAGCTCCATGGCAGCATATCTTGCGCAAACACAACTTTTGCTCAAGCACTTCCACTACCAGATCACCCAAGTTCCTCGAGCGGCAAACAGTCATGCAGACGCCCTGGCTCGCCTCGCCTCAGCTGTGGAAGACAAGATTGGAAGAAAAATTCATGTCGAACTGTTGGCAACACCAAGCACCATGGCCGCAGAAGTATGCAACTTACAACAGGGGGATAGTTGGATCACCCCGATCTATAATTTCCTTGCTCATGGCACCCTCCCAAATGATAAAGTCCAGGCTAAGCAAATTCGATACAAGTCTACCCGCTACCTGATCATCAATGATCAACTCTATAAGCGAGGTTTTAGCCTGCCATACTTAAGGTGTCTTACGCCTGCCGAGGCGGAAATCGTCCTTCGGGAAATACATGAGGGAGTCTGTGGAGATCATGCTGGATCTCGGTCCCTAGCACACAAGACTTTTCGCCAAGGATATTACTGGCCAACACTCCACCAGGATGCCATCAAAGTATCCCGCTCATGTGACAAATGTCAACGATATGCGAACTATTCCTCATTCCCCTCCAGAGCCTCTTACTCCTATGATCAGCCCTTGGCCCTTCGCCCAGTGGGGACTTGATTTGATCGGCCCAATGCCGGCAGGGAAGGGCAAAGTCTGTTACGCAGTCGTTGCAGTGGACTACTTCACAAAGTGGGCCGAAGTAGAACCCTTGGCAACCATTACTGAGGCAAAGATAGAAGACTTCGTGTGGAAGAACATCCTTTGTAGATTCGGCATTCCCAATGCGATAGTCACTGACAATGGGCGACAGTTTGACAACAAGAAGTTCAGGTTGTTCTGCTCTAAGTTCAACATCAACTTATGCTTTGCCTCTCCAGCTCATCCCCAGTCTAATGGACAAGTTGAGGCCATCAACAAAATAATCAAGCGCACTTTGAAAACCAGCTTGGACAAAGCTAAAGGCTGTTGGCCAGAATTTGTACCCCAAGTTCTTTGGTCATATCGCACTTCATATCGGACTTCAACAGGAGAAACTCCATTCTCACTTGCCTTTGGCACAGAGGCGGTTGTCCCTGTTGAGCTCGAGCAAGCAACATTCCGAGTCCAGAACTACATTCAAAGTGAAAATGACAAACAACTCACCCTCAACTTGGATTTAGTCGAGGAACACAGAAACCAAGCTCACTTGAGGAATGTCGCCTACAAGCAGCGCATCTCCAACTATTATGACTCTAGGGTCAAGCCTCGTTCTTTCAAAATAGGAGACTGGGTCTTAAAGAAAAGATTACTCTGCGACAGAGTCCCGAGTGAAGGCACACTTAGTCCAAACTGGGATGGACCGTATGAAGTCATTGGCATCAGTCGCCCTGGCTCTTACACACTTAGAAGCTCCGATGGCAAGACCCTTGGCCATCCATGGAACGCTGATCACTTGAAGTACTACTACAAATAGACTCACGATGTACAAGTGTTGAGCTATAGCCGTTCGGCATCCTATGTAATGAAGGCCATTTGGCAATGAATTCAATAAAGAGGTAATTTAGCCAACTCAGCCCTCACTCTTTTACATTCCTAGCAATGGAACACTCAAGTGTTGAAACCTCAAAGCAGATATATCCAACACGAAACAAAATCTAAGTATGTGTCGACAAGACTATACAAAGAAAGGAACAACCAAACAATGGCTTATATCCAAACAATAGATCTATTCATACATAGCCAAACATGCATTAATAATAGTGCAAACACTCATAAACACCTAAAATCCAAAACTCTCAAGCTTATAACATGGGCACATGTTATACACACATCAGACTACTACATCCAGAATACATGCAGATAGTAAAGACACTGCTATTCATTCTCATCTGAAGCCGAACCCCTGGCAGTATCACTCCGCGTCCTACCATCATCCTCTGCATCCCCAAGATCCTCTTCACCATGCTGAGTCTGTGCATCAGCACTACCTTCATTATCAGACTCATCTTCGCTGCTAGGATCAACAGCAAGGACAAATGTCTCGCCCTTTCGATGATGCTCATCTATATCTTCGTGGTATTTTCGAAGAATGCTCCCATCATCATAACGATCAAGGACGGCCATCCATTTCCTTTTTTCAAAGCGAGCTTCTTGAGCACAGTAGGGTTTAATAGCAAGATGAAAGGTCGAAGAACTTAAGTATTCTTGCACAGCAGCCTCCCTTTCAGTTGGAATGCTCTTCTCCAGTTCAGAAATCTCAACTAAGGCACCATCCAATTCTCCCCTAACCTTGGATACCTCCAAGGTAGCCACCTCCAACTGTTTTTTAGTTGCCTCAAACAATTTCTTAAGCCTTAGGTTCTCACCATTTCGCCTTTTCAAGCTCTCCATGGTTTCGTCCTTCAGTTGGAGAGCCTGAGTCAAAAGTCCCTTATTCCTTCGGGCCTCGTCCACAAGCTGCTTATTCTCCTTCAGTTTTGCCTTGTACCGCTCAACCTCTTGCAGTCTGTCGTGATACTCGGCCATGACCTGCATGGCAAGACGATCATCACTACCTAAATAATGATAATAAAGAGGAAAAAGTAAGGAAATGACAAAGTAACACTCACATATGAAGACAGCTTCAACATCCGGTCGCAATCCGATTCATCCTTAGCTAAGGGCTCTCCGAGCTCATCAAAGGCGAATCGACGCCCTGCCAAGCAATTGTTGATATCCCCAAAATCCTTTGGCCGCGTGGCAACCCTCAAGTCCTTCCACGGGACACTGCCAGCTCTTTCCTTGCCTTTCCCCTCATGGCGGGAACCAGGATCACTTTCCTGGACAGTGTGCTCCATAGTAAGAGGAGAAGGCAACAGTCGGCTCCCTTCTCCTGCAACTACGGCAGCAGCATTTTCAACGGCCTCAACTCCAGTCTTCCTAAAGGCAGGCCCCTTAAGGACCCCATCTTGGGACTTAGGTCTAACGGATGGTTCCCCTCGGAACTTATGAATTTTCTTATGCGGTAGGATGTCTTCCGAAGGAACTAACACTGGTGCTTTCCTTTTATTGGTGCTAGTCCCTGTTTTCTTGCTTACCTTCTCCACTGCATAAGGAAAATCAAAATAAGAAATACAACTTTCCAAATAAAGTAAGGAATTGAGCTAAGTTTACATGAAGGATACAACTTACTCGATCGTCCCTGGCTCTCGGAAACTAAGGGTTGGAAACCGTACCGACGAAATAAGGGTCGTAGCTTGCTTAAGTGTCTATCCTCTTTGGGCACCCTCAACACCTTCTCTATGTCAGATAGCTCCTGCCCAAACAGTTGGATGGTGCCCCGCGTCACTACATGAAGCAAAGTGTTAGAAGCAAGAAAAGACCACAACAAATAGCAAATAGTACGAACGGTTGATACGTTACAACCTACAGTCTGGAAGTGAGTAAGCACACGTCGCTCAGGCGTGACACCCTTATCATACTCCCAATCATTATACAGAAAGCACCAACGGTTTTTCCATGTGTAGTATGCCTTTTTCTTACCATACACAATACGCTCTCTCTCACTCCGACATGCACACTCGGCATAACCAGTGCATGATTTTGCTGGGCGCATCTTGTAACAGTAACGCCACTGATGGAAGGAAGGCTCACACAACCCACACTCCATCCAAATGATATAAAATCCAATCAAAGTATCCCAGAAACCAGGATTGAGTTGCCCAGGTGCATATCCGATCAAAGATAACATCTTTTGCAACCACGGATGTAAAGGTAGTCTCACCCCTAAAGTCAGTAATATCTGGGTGTAGAACATAACATGACCCTGGGGAGGCTCAGAAGGCCATTCTTCATCATGTACCAAACGTATCCCTACACTACGAGGGATATTACATGACTGCCTTAGCGCCTCAACCTGCTTCTCATTATTTAACAAGTTATTCTTTAGATGGTCTGCTGTGAACTCAGAGCGAACTATGGGTATGGCATCAAAAACAACCCCCTCACCCAACGCCATGGAGGAAGAACTAGCAATAGCTAAAGTTTGACGGTTGGGAAGATCATCCAATGTTTCTCTAGTACAGGACTCTAACAAAGACCCTGAAGACTCCGACATTGCAGACTCAGACTTAGAGCTAAAGCTAGAAGAGCCCTCATCACTAGAACTTCCAGGCTCTGACATCTACAATAAGAAGAAACAAATTCTATCACTACATGCATGATCAAAAACATAAGGAAGTTCCTATATTACCCACATGAAGATGGTGCAAAGCGATGCCGGAACCCTTCTCAATCAGAAAGCAATCCGTCTTCCACAGTCACTACAAAACAAGCAAATGAAGACCGTGTCAAGCGCCAAAAAAAAAAAAAAAAAAAAAAAAAAAAAACAGCTTCATCCAAAAAGCTTCACCCGAAAAGCTTCACCTCCAAAACTTCACCCAAAAAAGCTTCATCCAAAAAGTTTCACCCAAAAGCTTCACCAAAAAGCTTTCACCCAAAAAGCTTCACCACAAAGCTTCACCTAAAAAGCTTCACTCACAAAACTTCACCCAAAAAGCTTCATCCAAAAAGTTTCACCCAAAAAGCTTCACCCACAAAGCTTCACCTAAAAAGCTTCACCCACAAAGCTTCACCCAAAAAACTTCACCCGGAAAGCTTCACTTAAAAAAGCTTCACCTACAAAGCTTCACCTAAAAAAGCTTCACCTAGAAAGCTTCATCTACAAAGCTTCATCTACAAAGCTTCACCATCAAAGCTTCACCTAGAAAGCTTCAACACCAAAGCTTCACCTACAAAGCTTCAACACAAAACCTTGCTCCAAATAAACAAATTTTGTTCACAAAACCCAAGATGCCCTTGAACTTGTACAAAAACACTTGGGTAAACATAAACATTTTTTGTTTTACACCCACAAGGGCCCAAAATCTTCCTTCTTATTTATTCACTTATATATGTTCCCAAACATATTATAATAGATCCAACAACAAGCCAAAGTCCCAGGTTTCTTAATGGACAAAAGTACAAGCAATTCATCAATAATGAAGGTTGCTACAAAAATTGGAATCTGCCCCAAAATAGAAATCCAACCCAAGAGACTTTTTTCTCTCTCTCCCTCTTCCGCCTCCTTTCATCAATCAAATTTCTGCAACCTCTGCTCTTCTCCAATGGAGCTGAATTTTGGACACCCTATAGTTCTTTGAGCATATGAACAACTTTCAAGAAGGAACCATTTCTGTTTGAGCGACGGAAATTAAAGTGTTGAAGCTCCAAACATGACAGTCGGATTCTTGCAGATTTCGAAGCTGCTGTGATGTTTCGAAGATCTGGAAATATTTAACCATTAGTTCATTCTGAATTTTTGATATGTTATGAAAGAGACGATGAGGAACAACTTCAATGAAGAAAGCATGCTGATCTGAACAATAGAAAATGGAGTTTCGAAGCTCACAACAAATCTGACGGGTTGACAGAAAAATAATAACCAGTCATTCATCATACCTGAATTTCTTGAGTTATACAGCTCCGAGGGATCTCAATTTTGGATATGTTGTAGTTCACAAGTTAAGGAACAACTTCGATGAAGAAAGTATGTTGATCTGAGCAAGAGAAAATGGAGTTTTTGAAGCTCACAACAAGTCTGACGCGTTGATATACAAATGACGAACAATCACTCATCGTACCTGAATTTCTGGAGTTGTACTGCTCCGATGGATCTCCAATTTGGATATGTTGTAGTTCACGAGCTAAGGAACAACTTTCATGAAGATGGTTTTGCGATCTGAGCCACAGAAAATGGTATTATATTGAAGAAACTCTAAAGGCAGACTAAAGGAAAGCAAAAATGGTAAGCAAAGCAAAAGAAAAGCTAAAGGAAGACAAAATCATGGCACATGATAATGAGTCATACCCTACCCCTCATTGGATTCGAATACACCCATCCTCCAAAATCATGACAAAGGCCACATTATAGATATCTGTACAAACATTCCAAAGAAAAAGGGAGGGAGTAAAAAAAAAAAAAAGGGCCTAGGCCTCCACTTCTTTGGGCCTAACACATCTTCATAACAAAAAAAAAACAATATATGAAGAAAGAGCCCTGGGTTACCACTTCGAAAAGAAACAAGTGAAGTTTTCCTACTCATGACATTGACTACTAGCTAGACACCTCATTCGGCAACTCTCTTCGCCTGAAGACTTGGGGGACTCCCACCATATGCTACTGCACCTTGATACTCGGCAGTCTCACAAATTAAGGGAACACTACCTCAAACTACATGCTTCACTCACAAAGCTTCAACAATACAGGTTTCAACAAAAGCAAAAATTCAAAGAACTTTATGAAGAAGGCTTTGGTGTATTTAACACAATATGTTGAAATGAAGCAAAGCTTATTTATTAATATTTTCGATAAGCCACAAATATGTACATATACATGAGTCAAAATAAACAAACAAAAGGGAGCCTTCACAAAGGTTGCTTAGGGGAAGTCTCAGCAGTCGGTAGAGCCCCAGAAAGAGAAAGCACCGGAGGGTGGTTATCCGGAGCCTCAGTACTTGACAAAACCCCAGAAGGAGGAGGCATTGGAGGTTCATCATTTGAAGCTTCATTACCAGGTACAGCCCCAGAGGAGACGAAGGCAATAAATGCCTTTGGAACAAACCCACAAACCGCTGATGATCAAGTAAAACCTTACCATCAGATTCCTTCATCTGGTCAAGCTTCCTCTTCATGTTTGTAGCATAGTCATGGGCGAGCCGGTGCAACTGCTTATTCTCATGCTTGAGCCCTCTAATCTCCTGTTTGAGACTCATCACTTCAGCAGCCAATGATTCAACTTGGCGGGTTCTAGCAAATAGGCGTTGGGCCATATTAGACACAGAACCTGCACACTGAACACTAAGAGCCAGAGAGTCCTTAACAGCCAACTCATCAGACCGTTTGGAAAGTAGTCTGTTATCTTTGGGAGTGAGAAGGTTCCTGGCCACCACTGCAGCGGTCATATCATTCTTCATCACAGAATCCCCAACGGTAAGAGGACCAGTAGGGGATATGAAGGATGGGCGCCATATGTTGTCTGGAGAAGGCGTGGCTGTCTCTTCTCCAAGGTTCAAGTCAAAACGACGGTCGGAGGGTCCAGACATTTTCAAATGTGTTGAAGAGGGAAGAGGTCAGACAAATCAAGATCTTAGAAGTGCAAGAAATGAGCTTCTACTGGTAGAGATTCAAGTGTGCTGTGGAACTTAATGCCAGCCTCTATAAAAATCTGCACTCGACGGAGCTTTCAGAAATCGAAGAGGCGTTTGCTTTCTCAAAAGCTGGGCTGCTCAGAGACCACGAGGGCCGATCTCAGAAATCGAAGAAGCACCTGCTTTTTCAGCCTCGTCAGCACCTGTCACATGCACACTCAGCTTTGCGGAAATTACGGGCAATCTGTCGAAGATTTCTGGTGAAGTAGAAAGCACGTGAATCTTACTGTTCAATCACCGCTCTCCATATGCACCATCAACTCCTCGGGTACCACATATAACTTTGTCAAAGATCTCTGACAAAGTTTAGGCACGAGAATTTCGAAGTTCCAGCTACCCTACTATTACCCATAAGGGTAAAGGAACAGCACCACAGCACCACTGCTTGACAACTGGAAAGTCCCTATGTGTGTCGACCTCCGTGTTTTGCGGCAAGACAGGTTGGCAAGAACGTCCAACCTTTACTCACATTCGAGAAAAGACTCCCAACATAATTACTTTCTCAAAAACCGGAGTAGCACCGCTTTCCGAATCTCGAGAGTCAGATCCTCGACGGGATTGCTTGTTCGAAAAACCGAAGAGGCACAACTCTCAGAACTTCGAGAGCCAGATTTCCTTAGATAAAGCTTGTCTGTAATCTTCACACGTAACATCAGCTTTCCAGATACCACATACCACTTTTTCAAAGTGCTCTGACAAAATTAAAACACGTGAAGCTGGCAGCTCCCACTACATTGCTGTGACCAAGAAGGGTAAAGGAATAGCATTACTACTTGTTATTGGGAAATCCCTATATACATTGACCTCCCTCCTCAACGGACAGGCAAACCTGCAAAAATGCTCAACCCTTTCTCGCATTCGAAAAGGCACCCTCAACATAACCTCTCTCGAAATACTCAGCTTTATTTCCCCCCGATAATACCTCAGCAAATAAGCCACACCAAGAACAAGAGTATCTCATATCATCAGGGTCGAAAGCAAGAGTATCCCATATCATGCTTTCTCCCTGTCTTTGTCTTTGTCCTTGTCCACACCTGCAGGACAAGGAGAAAGAGAGCAGTCAGTCGGAACCTGAAATCAAACCTCCAATTTGGAACTGACTGCCTGGAGCCTTTGCCTGGTTGCTTACTTAGCATTGCTCTCGAGTACTCATCCTCAACTGCTGTCAAGGTCACGAATTCCACCGGCAAATACCTCATGACAGTTGATCAGATATTGGCTCTTTACACTGAAGCTGCCAAGCGTGGATGAGTCACTATGAAGGAATGTTCTGAAGGACCATTTAAATGCAAAGGTTGCACACCACTTCTGCCATGCAAAAGATTGAAGCAGAAGGTTCAACGGTGAGCTGAAACAGATCACTACAGCACGACACCTTTTCCATACCACATTCATTATTCCGTCAACAGCAAAAGTATCCCATATCATCAAGGTCGAACGTACTCTAGATTTGATGGACTTGTTTTGACCCTCAAATTTTTGAGTCGGCCTTATACTCTGAAGGGCACCAGAAAACCCTCCAGTACAGTTCAAGAATAAGCCTGTGGAAAGTTACTTCTTCAAAAGCAAAAGTATCTCATATCATCTCTTATCCATTTGCTTCTCCTTATCCTGGCAGTTGAATGAGAGACAAGGAGAAGGAGAACAATCAACCGGAAGCCGAAGTCAAACCTCTGATCCTGGGTTGCTTACTTGGAAGTTTGACTGCTTACCTTGTCTGTCACCTCTTTCGGCAGATCTCCTAGCTCGGCGACTTGGGAGACTCCTACTATAAGGTTTGTATCGCACTTGACCAAGCCCGAAACTACAAGTAAGCTTCAAAGTGAAATTGATACATTACCTTGTGCATCTTCATCAGCTAAATACACCATTCCCGGATGGAGGAAAGGTACTTCCAGAGAAAGGCAGATGAAGATCAGACCACACTTCGATACTTAGAAGTTTCGTGATTACTCAAGGGATTGGATCTTGCAAGTCCCCAACCGAGGAGTTTCCCTCACTCGGGAACTTAGGGGAGCACTGTTTGTACCATACTTGACCAATCCCGAAACTACCGAGCACCGGCCAACGCTATACTGTCTGTCAAGGACCCAGAAGAGTTCCCCTCCGACCAGGAGGCCAATCACTACTCGACACGTGTCAAGATTAGAAGCCAATCAGAGCGCAGCACGTGTCGACATCAAGAACCAATCATAACATGACACATGTCAATGTGACAAAGCTACAAGTTTTTCTATAAATAGGGGTCATTCCCCCACAATATGGGCTAATGCCATTTGTGTTAAATCATTCACAAGAACTCACTAAATTGAGAGCTTGATCCTTTGTACTTGTGTAAGCCCTTCACTACTAATAAGAACTCCTCTACTCCGTGGACGTAGCCAATCTGGGTGAACCACGTACATCCTGTGTTTGCTTCTCTGTCTCTATTCATTTACGTACTTATCCTCACTAGTGACCGAAGCAACCAAGCGAAGGTCACAAAACCTGACACTTTCTGTTGTACCAAAGTCTTCGCTGATTTTGTGCATCAACAAATATAAATTAGAAAGAGAAGGGGGAGAGCTTGAACACATATTGGAGGAGTTTTGACACTATCTTTTATCAAATAGGTGGTGGGCACTAAAACATTCAATTTGACATGGTCAAGCTCATTTACAGTTGTTTATCCACTGAGCATAAGATACACTGTGAATGTAAATGTTATTTTTAAACTCGAATCAAAAGCGTGAAATTAACATATTTTTGAAATTTTATTTCATTAAGCTGTGTTACCCAAATGAAGGAATAAATATAGGATGATAGGAAACTGGTGCATGTTCTCTACAAAGCTTTGCTAGTTCTCTGTTTTCCTCAATTCAATTAAGAGTTTAGACCCACTAATTTATCAGTAAATAAACAAAACAAAAATTATGACAACAATTGGACAAAACAAAAGAAACCGTAGAGATTCAGCAGTTAAGTGTCTACAACCTCAAAATTTTACTGAGTTTATGCAACTAAAGGGGCAATCAAATTATTAAGTTGTAAACAAAGTATCCAATTTCACGAAAAAAAAGTATCTAATAGCACATTAGATGGTAAACTTGGAATTAACCACTGGATTTTGAAAGACAGCATTTAAGATAGATGTGTAAACATGGATACAAATGCTTATCTAAATGGGTAAGGCATGTGTGCTTGTTTTTGTGTCTTCATATGTTTATCACAAAAAATAACACAGGGCAATAAAGTATTTTGTCAAATTGGAAATTGTGAATATAAATTTTATTGTATCACAACAGCAGCAATTTTAAGCAAAAAGATTAAATCCACCAGTGTTAAATCCTGAAATTCTACAAAGAAAAATACTATGAACACACCCACAACCGAAACACAGAGAAAAAACATGACAGAAAATCTTTCCAAATAAGCAAAACAAAATAAAAAATAAAAAATAAAAAATAAAACCCATGTGCAAGCAAAACAAAGGAAACTAAATTAAAACACATTCAAATACCTTCAACACAGAGAACTTCGGAAATCGAAATCGAAACTCCCAAATTTTCAAAGGCACCGTTTCCTGAAACTGAAAACCAATTTGCATCAGACATTTAGAGAAACTATCAATCCAAACACAGAAAATCGAAACCATATAGACTGATAAACATGCAATACATACCTGGAAACGCCGGATTAGATCAGTCCAAACCAATTTCCAATCGAATAAAAAATGGGGAAAAATCTCTGAAATCGAAAACCAAACGACATCAGACATGCAAAAAAACTATGCGAGGAAACACACGAAACCGAAATCACACGCGATAACAAACACACAAAACTTACCTCAAAATGGTCGATCAGATCAGCCCACAAATAATTCGAATCGAATTAAAAATAGGTAGGCATTCGTGACGTGTTTTCCGCGTTCGTGTCGTTTTCGTGTCATATCCGATATCTTAACAGGTCGTGTCGTGTAACATCCGTTAAAATAAACAGGTAAAATGACCCGACCCGAAATTGATCCGATAATATTAACATGTAATATGACCCTACCCGTTACCCGTTAAGGAAAATATATTTTAAACTAATAAATAATCAAATGAAAAATATAATACTAAATAAGTATATACATACCATATTGTTACATCCAAAACATAAAAACGCAATTTTCTTTTAAGGATATTTTCACTTACCTAAAGTCTTTAATAGTTTTTTAATTAATGTAGAAGTGTAAAGAAATATAGAAAAATATATATAAACGCTTGTAATGACAAGCTTTACAATTTTCATGAAGAGCTTAACTTCGAAATTCGTCACTATAATCATATAAATCATACATAAAAATTTCACCGTTGATTGTTGTTTACATTTACGCTTCATTATTCTCATCAAATTTTGTTTTTTAAGATTTTCTTTTTTGAAAACTTGATCTATTAGAGGATACAGGAAGATGAACGTTTGGATCGTTGATATTATATTCAGAGTTTTACGGTTAGTGAAAATATTGCTTGATGTTTATAAAGTTTCTACAAACTATATGACATTGACTCATATTTCAGTTAATCGTAAATATCGAAATGTGATATCAAAGATCTGAACCGTTCATCTTCTTACATCCGCCAGATGATCATATTTTCAAAAAAGAAAATTTAAAAAATGAAATTCAGTAAGAAGAATAAAGCGTAAATGACAATCGACGATTAAATATAAATTTAAGGTTTATGAATTATAGTGTTTGATTTCGAAGCTGACCCCTTCATGAAAGTTGTAAAGTTTGTCACTATAAGTGATTGTATATTTTTTTTACATTTTTTACACTTCTACAATAATTATTATTAATTTCATTAATTTTGCCCTCAAATAAAAAACATTATTCATGAAGGTTTGGAGGATTTTAAAAATCTAAACGATAATGTAAGTGTAACCATTATCTACTCGTGGAGGAATAATGATGAATCATGAGTGTTTATATATTCTTTCACATTTTTCATCCTTGTATGTATGTCTTCTTAGTTTTTGCCTATACAAATACTATATTAGTTTATTTTAATTTTGGACAACAACATGTTAAGTAAAATTTATCCTAGTAATGATAATAAGGAACTCTCATAATAAAAATAAATAATGACTAAAACTTTTTTTTTAAAACTTATATAGAATAATAATACAAAAAAATATATTTAATATAGAATATATTGTATATATTAATATGGCTATTGTATTTTATAATAAATCTTTTAGTAATTAAACTTTAAAATTATCAAAATAAATTTTTTTCTTAATAGGTCGAAACGGGTTATCCACGTGTTACCTACGTGTATACCCGTTAAGAACCCGTTCTTAACGAGTTACCCGATAATGACCCTATAAGTTATCGTGTTGACCTGAAACTTGTTATTTTCGTGTCGTTTTCGTGTCGTGTCACCGTGTCATATCAAAAACTGCCGGGTCTAGTGTTGATGCACAAAATCAGTGAGGACTTTGGTACAACAGAAAGTGTTAAGTTCGTGACCTTCGTTAGATTGCTCCGGTCACTAGTGTAGATAAGTATGTAAATGGATAGGGACAAAGAAGCAAACACAAGATATATGTGGTTCACCCAGATTGGCTACGTCTACGGAGTAGAGGAGTTCTCATTAATTGTGAAGGGTTTACACAAGTACATAGGTTCAAGCTCTCCTTTAGTGAGTACTAGTGAATGATTTAGTACAAATGACATTAGGAAATATTGTAAGAGAATGATCTCTATTTATATAATAGAGTTTCTAGTTTCATTCTGACATTGACACGTGTCGTGTTGTGATTGGCTTCTGATGTTGACATGTGTCGCGCTATGATTGGCTTCTGATGTCGACACATGTCGCTGTGATTGACCTCCTGGTTAAAGGGAAACTCTTCTGAGTCCTTGACGGTATAACGTTGACCGGTGCTCAGTAGTTTCAGGATTAGTCAAGTATGGTACAAACAGTGCTCCCCTAAGTTCCCGAGCGAGGAAAGCTATTCGTTTGGGGACTTGCAAGATCCAAGCCATTGAGTAATCACGAAACTTCTAAGTACCAAAGTGTGGTATCATTTTCACTTGCCTTATCTGTCTCATATGTAGATGTGACATCTTCTCTGGAAGTACTTTTCCTCCATCCAAGGGTGGTATCTTTAACCGATAAAGATGCACAAGATAATGTATCAATTTCACTTGAAGCTTACTTGTAGTTTCGGGTTTGGTCAAGTGCGATACAAACCCTATAGTAGGAGTCCCCCAAGTCGTCGAGTTAGGAGATTTGCCGAATGAGGTAACATAAAAGGTAAGCAATCAGACTTCTAAGCAAACAACCTGGATCGGAGGTTTGACTTCGGCTTCCGATTGATTGTTCTACTTCTCCTTGTGTCGTAAATAGCAACAAGGATAAGGAGAAGCAAATGGAAAAGAGATAATATGAGATACTTTTGCTTTTGAAGAAGTAACTTTCCACAGGATTATTCTTGAACTGGGCTTGAGGGTTTTCTGATTTCCTCTAGAGTATAAGGTCGACTCAAGAATTTAAAGGTCAAAACAAGTCCATCAAATCTATAATACATTCGACCCTGATGATATGTGATACTTTTGTTGTTGAATAAGTAATGGATGTATCAGCACGTGTTCTGTTACGCTTGTCTCCACATGCTTCCTTGTATCCTTCTCACTTGCCCTATCTGTTCCTCAGATATATGTGGTATCTTTTCTAAAAGCATAAGATGTTGAAGATGAGTACTCGAGAGCAATGCCAGGTAAGTAATCAGACAAGGGGTTCCAGGCAGTCAGTTCCTGACTGGAAGCTTGATTCCAAGTGCTGACTGATTGCTCTCTTTCTCCTTGTCGTGCACGTAAGAACAAGGCCAAAGGAAAAAACAGGGAAAAAGTATGATATGAGATACTCTTGCTTTTAACCCTGATGATATGAGATACTCTTGCTCTGGTGTGGCTTGTTTGTAAAGGTATTATCAGGAGGAAAATAAGCTGAGTATTTCGAGAAACTCTACTGAGTGTGCCTTCTCGGATGTAAAGAAAATTTGAGCATTTTTTTTATTTGCAGGTCTGCCTAACTGTGGAGGATGAAGGTTGACATATATAGGAATTGTCCCAACAGCGAGTGGTAACACTGTTCCTTTACCCTTCTCGGTCATAGCAGTGTAGTGAGAGCTGCAAGATTCACGTGTTTTAACTTTGTTAGAGCACTTTGAAAAAGTGATTTATGGTATCTGGAAATCTGATGTTGCGTGTGAAGATTGCAGACAAGCTTTATCCAAGAAAATCTAGCTCTCGAAGTTCGGAGAGCAGTGCCTCTTCAGTTTTCGAATAAGCAATACTGTCGGGGATCTGGCTCTCAAGATTCGGAGAACGGTGCCTCTTTGATTTTTGAGAAAGCAATCATGTTAGGAGTCTGGCTCTTGAGATTCGGAGAGCGATGCCTCTTCGATTTTTGACCAAGTAATCCTGTTGGGAGTCTGGCTTTCGAGATTCGGAGAGATGTGCCTCTTCGATTTTTGAGCAAGTAATCATGTTGGGAGTCTGGCTCTCGAGATTCGGAGGGCGGTGCCTCTTCGATTTTGAGCAAGTAATCCTGTTGGGAGTCTGGCTCTCGAGATTCGGAGAGTTGTGCCTCTTCGATTTTTGAGCAAGCAATCTTGTTGGGAGTGTTTTCTCGAATGTGAGTAACGATTGGGCATTTTTGCCAGTCTGCCTTACCACAGATCACGGAGGTTGACACACATATGGACTTTTCAGTTATCAAGTAGTTGTGTTGTTCCTTTACCCTTGTAGGTAATAGTAGGGTAGCTGGACCTTTAAAATTTATGTGTCTAAACTTTGTCATAGATCTTTGGCAAAGTTATATGTGGTACCCGAGAAGCTGATGTTGCGTGTGGAGAGTGGTGCCTCTTCGAAATCCGAAGAGTGGTACCTCTTCGATTTTTGAACCAACGGCCCTATTGCTCTTTCTTTTATAAGAGCACCAATTGTGTGCATGAAGTACATTCAGAGAGTTATTGCTTGTAAGAATTTTCCCCTTATTTTTGTACTTGAGAGATTTATTGCACCTCATTTCTCCTTCATCATTTCTGAGAATGTTTGGCCCATCTGATCGTCATTTTAACTTGAACTTTGGTGAAGAGACAGTCATGCCTTCTCAAGACAACATATGGCGTCAATCCTTCTTATCCCCTACTGGTCCTCTTACTGTTGGGGACTCTGTGATGAAGAATGATATAACCGCTGCGGTGGTGGCCAAGAACCTTTTCACTTCTAAAGATAACAAACTACTTTCCAAATAGTCTGATGAGTTGGCTGTTAAGGATTATCTGGCTCTCAGTGTTCAGTGTGCAGATTCTATGTCTAATATGGCCCAAGCCTATTTGCTCGAACCCGCCAAGTTGAATCATTGACGGCTGAAGTGATAAGTCTCAAACAGGAGATCAGGGGGCTCAAGCATGAGAATAAACAATTGCACAAGCTCGCACATGACTATGCTACAAACATGAAGAGGAAGCTTGACCAGCTATAGGAATCTGATGGTCAGATTTTACTTGATCATCAGAGGTTTGTGGGTTTGTTCCAAAGGCATTTATTGCCTTCGTCTTCTAGGGCTGTACCGCGTAATGAAGCTCCAAATGATCAACATTACATGCCTCCTCCTTCTGGGGTTCTGCCCAGTACTGAGGCTCCGAATGATCACCTTCTGGTGCCTACTCTTTTTGGGGCTCTGCCGACTGTTGAGACTTCTCCTGAGCAACCTTTGTGAAGGCTCATTCTTGTTTGTTTATTTTGATTCATGTATATGTACATATTTGTAACTTATCGGAGATATCAATAAACAAGTTTTGCTTCATTTCAACGTATTTTGTTAAATACACCAAGGCTTTCTTC